GACTGGAAGCTTCTTCTTGTAGAAGCCATTTAATATAAACCCAGCATAGTTTTCAACAGTAGTTATTTATTACAAGGTCATACCAGTAGTGTAAAGTCAGGAAGGGATTTTAGAGGCCATATAATTCAGTCTTTACAGATGAGGAAGCTGAGGCCCAGGTTAAGTGACTTGACTAAGATCACACTAACAGCAAGTAGCAGAGGTAAGATATGGACCCAGGTCTTCTAACACCAAAGCCAGTGTTCTCCCCACTGCACCATACTGAATTGTGGGAATATTGCCTTTCTGTTGAAGGAGAAATTGGACGTCTCAGATACTCTCAGGGGTGTGCTTGCTGGTAAATGTTTAAAAACTCATCTGAAAAAATGTATACAGGACATACTTTTTAAAATCTGAATTATCAACATTTTCTCCACCACTTTCTTAAGTCCAGACAATCAACAAAACAATAAATCAAGCCCTGCTTTGTAGCCTTTGCACCTTCTGAGATGTAAATGTTCCCACTTACAATTCACCCTCAGTCCTAATGAGGTAGGAGCTGGCTCCAGGACACCCCTGGCTACTCTCAAAACCAGCTGTCATGGGCAGCTGCCACTACTCTTAGTCTACTAACCAATCCAAGACAGTTCTCCATGCACTTCTGGTAACTCCACAACAGGCACAGATTGACAGAGACCTCTGTCCAGTGATGCCCATTCTCCTAGAAATACCAAGGCAGGGTATGTTTCTCTGGAGCAACCCTGAGGAAGACATATTAACTCACCATTGGACAGTGGTTGGGGGACACCTCTCACCCAGAAGATGAGCTATTCAGTGATTCCCACAATACTGTATGTCATTCCTTTCTGGAAAAAAAAACATAGAGAACTTCATTCTGTAGTGATTTTCACTGTTAGACGGAGATGAGAAGTTGAAATCAAACCACTTGCTTGGTGGCACTTCTGACACTGGTAATTGTCTTTAATAAGTGTGGTGACTGATGAAAATGCCTGGCTCTCACATCTTTACTATCTGATATTATCTAGCATCTCTATCTTTAGTAATAGCTAGCAGATTTGCAAGACACTTTACAAATAAATATTATTTCATTAGATTGTAGTTTTCTTGAGGGCAGGTAGTCTTTTGCCTCTTTTTGTGTCCCCAGAGCTTAGCACAGTGCCTGGCACACAGTAGGTGATTAATAAATGTTGATTGATTTATTAAGCATCTACTAAGTGCCAGAGCCTGGGCAGAAGTATTTTTGTGAGGAAATATTGCGGAAAGGATCTTTATAGATTGCGGATACTCCATACAATGAGCCAGTTTCCATTTGGACCTTACAGCTACTTTTGGGGAATCTTGTAAATATCCTGAGATATTTCATCCTTTGATGTGAAACAAACAATTATAGTTTGTGTTTGTATCAGTCAATCAGCAAACACTTAGTAAACACCTAAGCTGAGAGAGATAAAAAGACAAAAATGAAACCATCCCTGCCCTTAAGGTGCTTACATTCTACTGGGGGAAACATACATATACTGTCAGTACATACAAAATATGTTTTATTTCAGGGGGAGAACAGGGATCAGGTAAGTCCTCATGCAGGAGGAAGGACCTGAGGTGAACTTTGAAGGAAACTTGGGATTCTAAGTGGTTGAAGTGAAGAAAGAGTTCATTCTAGGCATAAGACCCAGTCTGTGTAAAGGCATGGGGAGGGAAGGGAGATGGGGCGTGGAATGTGTGAGGAATAACTGGAAAGCCAGTTTGGCTGGAGCAAAGAATACGTGAAGGGGAGCAATTCATGTACAGTAAGTCTAGAAAGTCCAGTTGGAATCTGACTGCAAAGGGTTTAAAATGCCAAAAGTAGAGTTTGTATCGGATCTTAGAGGCAATCAGGAACCAGTGGAGTTTCCTGAGCATGGAAGTGACAGTTTCATAGCTATGTTTCAGGAATATCACTTTGGCAGCTGTAGAGTTTTAGGGTTTAAAAAGCATCCCATCAGATGGTTAGAATAAGTATTTATTACCCCCCCCCCTTTTCAGATGAGGGCACAGAGCATCAGGAAAGTTTCCCACTAAGAAAAGAGAATGAGAAAAGTCACTTGTCTGGGATGGACAATTACTCTGTGTGTGTGTGTGTGTGTGTGTGTGTGTGTGTATTGGAGCTGAGATTCAAACCAGAACTCTCAGTTCCAAGTCCACTGCTTTTTCTCTATTCATCATATCGTTGTTTATTTTTTTAAATTCACCTATATTTTCTGCTACCGGTACGTCTGAGTCACCCAATGCTGGCTGGGTGTTAAGAACTTCTGGAACTCTCTGTGGGCTTTCTTCTGATGGATTTTGAACAGCATCCTCTCCCAATGTGACCTTTCTTTAAGAATTTTTACACTGCAGCCTGGAATCTATCAGAGGAGCATGAGTATCAACTCTCCATAAGATATTTGTATGGGAACTGATCTTAGAGGTTGGGGACCATGCCTTTCCTGGGTCCTGCTGGCCCTCTGGCCAAGGGCCGTATAAGAACTATGGAACACATTGATGCTAGAGACTGTTTTGTGACATGCAATGATGCAATCTCAGCAGCTGTAATTGATTGAACTGTCCTTCATAGTCTACCCCATCCCCCACTTCCATTACCACCACCCTATGCCCTATGCCATCCTTGATACTCTCTTCCCCAAATGACTAAAAAGAACTCAGGAAATGCTTGATTCAGATAAGTGGTATGAGAACAATTCTACCAGCCTCTTATAGCAGTTTCTTTATATTCATATATATGTATATAAATACACATATATGTTTATATATGTGTATATATGTTTATAAATATACATGTATATATATGTATATATGTGTATATAGAGAGATCTCTGTCTCTGCCTCTCTCTGTCTTTGTTTCTGTCTATCTGCTCTGTCTCTATATCTGTCTATATGTCTCTCTTTGTCTGTCTCTCTGGATATCTCTTTCCCTTTCTATCTCCTTTTCTCTGTGTGTGTGTGTGTGTGTGTATACACACACACACACACACACACACATATACACACATATACACACACAGATATATATATATATATATACACACACACACACACACACACATACACACACATATCTGTGTAATGATATCAGAGGGTGGAGACCAGGACCTAGTCTCTCATCTAGACTTTCCACTGGGGCCTAATGTGCAGGGGCAGCTGGCCTGGAGATAAGTGAGTGTAGCATTTAAAAAGCTGAAGAGACATAATTCTGGGTAATTTAATCATTTGATTAATAATGCTACCATGTTTATTAATAAAAGGATGGTCCCTTGGCCATATCTCTTAGACCAAAGGCCTCTCATGGCAGTGGGCTCATAGTTTATAGCCCTTGGAAGAGCAGGTGTTCCTGAGGGTGTCAGGATTGGTTAACAATTAATGGGAAAATTAATTGGACAACAAAAGGGTGAGCTATATTACAGTGAGAGTCTTGGAGTATGTAACTTGGATCACCTAAATCTTGGTCAAAGAGACTTGTCAATTTCCATGTCTGACCTATTTGACAAAAGGGAGAATCAACACTCACCCAGACCTGTCGGAGAAAACACAATGAGCAGGAATCTGCCCATTAGCCTAAACTTCAAATTTCTTTTACTGTCTGATTAGATCCTGGCCTAGAGAAATCTCTGCCTAAGATTTCCCACACTGGTTGATTTCTGGATGAGGAAATAGAAAACGGGAAAAACTTTTGTTCCAATTCAGTAATTAGCTGTTAATACAAGAGAGAAATAATCATTTCTCACACAAGGGAACAAACATGGACTCAGAGCTAGCACTGGTGTTTGCGTGTGTTTCTGTTGGCTCAGTTTGAAAGTAGTAGATAAGAGGGGAAGAGAAAACAGGTTACAATCCCTTCATGCCCCATACCTGTCCTAGTAATACAGTAAGAGCAGCATATCCCTTGTAGGCTTGGGCACACAACTGTTTCTCTTTTCCTGACATCCTCAACCTCTGAAAGGAAGACCTTGCCTTGAACCATTATTAGTAACAACTTTGATTCCATGAAGGCAGTGGGTTGATTCAACTCAATGAATGGTTCTATAAGGAATTCCAAATCCAACACAACTTACCTGTACAGTGAGAGGTTGGACAAATGACCTTTAAATTACTTCCCAGCTGTATGGTAGCTCTAGTCAAATGATTTAAGGGTTTTAATATGGAAGAGGCAGCCGGAAATTCAAGTTGCCTTGGGAGGGGTGGTGAGTTCCCTGCCATTGGACATGATTAAGTGTAATCCAGATGACAGCTCAATAGAGATGTTGGAAAATTCTCTGTCATCTGCGTGGAGCCTTTCCCAGTTCTCTCAGCTGCTGGTGCTTTCCCTGCATATTCGCCTCACACTTATTTTTCCATTTTGTATGTACTTATACATGGACGTGGTGTCTCCCTGGCCAGATTGTCAACTCTTCAAGAGCAGGGATTGTTTGTGTCTTGTATCCCCACCACTTTACAGAGTACCTGTCATATAGTAAGGGCAAGGATGCTTACTGATTGATAGAACTAGGTGGATGCTAATGTTCCTTCTAGCTTCTCCTATTGTCTGCTGAGGGCACTTCAGTTTGTCAATATCTTTGAAAATATGGCACCCAGCACAATGCCCTACTTTTGTCCATAGTCTAGGATCACAGAAGCCCAATTTTGTTGATGAGAATGGTGTAGGCTGGTGGAGAACCATAAACATAACGCAAAGCACAGGGACAGTGGTCACCATAGGGGAAGCATGTCCCCCACCATGTCAGAACCCTTGGACAAAGCTCAATTCATCCTGTCCTAGTTACGGCTTTGGCCCTCGTTGAAAGAGAATGAACAAGCTAGAAGGAAGAAGCATATCCAGCTAGACATATGCCATAGAGAGATTTAAATACATCGGTGCCATAACTTCACCCTCAGTTATCGTTGTGATGCTCCTCTTGAGCTGAAGAATAAAACCTAAAGTAGCCCCCTCATCCCCCTCCTCTGATGTTTGGTTTCTTCCTATCCAGCGGTATGCCGCTATCCTCTGGGCACATCAGGAGGCCACATTCCAGATGAGGACATCACAGCTTCTAGCCAGTGGTCGGAATCCACAGCTGCCAAATACGGAAGGTAAGGACAATTATCCAAGGAGGGGACAGTCCCTGGGGTCCCTGCAGACACTGCCCAGATGAGGCTGGGGGGAAGGGCAGTCTGGTGGCCCTGCTCTACTGTATCTAGTTGCAGGGAACAGATGGCATGTTCAGCACTGTGGGCTGGATCCTGCTGAGGACCAACAGGGGTGCTGCTCAGCATCACCAGTCATAACAGCAAATGAGTTTTCTGGTATCTGTTTTGTTTGTCTTACATCCATCATACTCACATGAGCTCTAGGAGCCCAGAGGGGAATCACAGCTTCTGTGATGGGAAACAGCCAGGCTGGGCAGGCAGGACTGTTGTTTATACAGACAGGCAGGCAGACTCTGGAGATCCGAATCCTGTTCCTGGCATCTTGTAATGAATAAGTGGTTATATGACACAGTGCTCATCCCAACCCCCACCCCATCCCTAACCCCTCAACATTTAGCTTTAAGTTCCTTCCCGGTAAAACTGATAAAATCCTCACTTAGGATGGCATGCAAAGCCATCTTATGGGAGGCAGGAAAAACTTCACTAACCCACAAAGAATTACAACAAGCATATTCTACTCCACAAGGGAGGCAATCAGTTTTACTCCTATGCTTATTAGGTGACTGCCTTAATGGTGGAATTTCAGGAACCCTAGGAAATGTCTAGATGAGATCCTTTTGTACCTACTGAGTAATCCCTGAGTCCTACTGTATTAGAGAATCATCCCTTTTAGTTTAAGCCAAGGGTTCCTTTTTTTTTTTTTTAAATCATACAGCCTTTTGGCGGTCTGGTAAAGCCTAGGAACCCCTTCTCTCAAAATAATGGTTTTGAATGGATAAAATGAAATCAAAAGGATTATAAAGAAAACAATTCTATTGAAATATTTAAAAAATAGCAAATATCAAAATATTTTTAAAAACAAGTTCACAGACCCCAGGCTAAGAACTCCTTTTAAGGTTTTTACCTTTCTTAAAATGCAACCAACCCTCTCTTATAACTAAGAAGTAAAATTCTCAATTGATCTCATTGATCACAATGAATGAAAATATGAAGGAAAAGTTTTACAGGATAATAAGATTGGAACATAAAGGTATTAGGTCCTGGTAGAGGGGAAAAGGGAATGATTAGGGGTAAGAAGGGCCCCAAACAGAGAGGCTTAGGGTAAAAGTTGGCAGTTGGAAGGCTGACTTCCACATTATTTCACAATTTTGCTGAGAACTGGCCCTGACTGGAGAAAATAAAATGAAACCAACATTCTTTAGTATTTCCCTAGGGCATGTGGGCCAGTGGATCTTTGCCAGTCTGCAAGCCCACCATACCACACCCACTGTAAAGAGCACTCCACTTGAAGCATGACTAGTCCAGTCTCATTAAGCTCAAGCTGAGAGGGCAATAGCTAAAATGACCCACTAGGGGATGGAGGTGGGGCAGGGATGGAAGGGTGGCCATAAGGGAAGAGATCTTATATCCTCCTGGATCTTTAAATTAGGGTGGGAAACAAAAGCTTCATGTGATCTGCGTCCCTGGCTCCCTGGTTTGGATTGTGTCTGGGTTGTGGGGTGCCCTGGGGGAAGGGAACAAACCAAACACGGATATGTGGTGGAGGTCAGACAGGCTCCTCCTGTAGATTCCATGCTGATATCCCAGACCATGCTCTGTCCCTGGGACTGGGTAGCTTTCCACTGTGGCTGATATAAGCAGCCATGTGATTTGACGGTTGCCCACCCCCTTCCCATTCTATACTTTTTCCTATTGCCCTAGGCTGGACTCTGAAGAAGGAGATGGAGCCTGGTGCCCAGAGATACCAGTGGAACCGGATGATTTGAAGGAGTTTCTACAGATTGACCTACGCAATCTACATTTTATCACCCTCGTGGGGACCCAGGGACGCCATGCAGGGGGCCATGGCAATGAGTTTGCTCCTATGTACAAGATCAATTACAGCAGAGATGGTACCCGCTGGATCTCTTGGAGGAACAGACATGGAAAACAGGTATAGGGAATGGTACCCCAATTAGGGATGGAACCCCTCAGCGGGGGGAGGGAAGTGTCTACCTTCTGACAGTAAAAGGAGTTCTCTGAGGGGAGGGTTAGATTGGGGAAGTCTGGGGCAAAAGACCTCCAACCATGCTTGGGAGTTATGCCGGCCAAATGAAACTAAAATGAACCCTCAAAGTGGCCAGAACCATGAAAGGTGAAGAAGTGCGAGAGGGAGGTCTATCTTTTAGATGAATTTCCATTCCTTCTCTACCATCCCTCTTCTGTTTCCTCAGGTGCTAGATGGAAATAGTAACCCCTATGATATTGTGCTAAAGGACCTGGAACCACCCATCGTAGCCAGATTTGTCCGCTTCATTCCAGTTACTGACCACTCCATGAATGTCTGCATGAGGGTGGAGCTCTATGGTTGCGTCTGGCTAGGTAGAGCTTGGGAAGGGTTGGCACTGGGACAGAGCAGAGGGAGGGGATGGGGTGGCTGGGGAGTCCTCTTGTGAATGTCCTCGTCCCACACACAAGGTAAGAGATAGATCTAGTGGTAGATCTGTACTCGTTCCCCTTTGTCCTGCAATGAAGTAGGACTTTTATAATTTGGGTAAAAATATAGCAAGGGTTGTATCATCAGAGGTCATTCCAGATAGCTGCCAAAGCATAGGCAATGGAGTTCTAGAGATAGGCCCCTAACCTCCTTGGAGAGCCTGCAAGGATAAGGGGTAGAATTGCCCAATAATTCCTGTGGGACTCAAGGGCGGAGCTTATCAACTAGTAATAACTAGCATGTACACAGTACTGTAATAATAATGACAATAATAACAATAATAGCACCTATTATGTGCCAGCGACTATGCTAAGTGCAAACATCATGTCATTGGATCCTAATATCATTCCTAGGAGGTAGGGGCCATCATCTCTATTCTACAGATAAGGAAACTGAGGCAAATAGAAGATAAGTGACTTGCCCAGGGATACATAGTTAATAAATGTCTGAGACTGAGTTAAACTGAGATCTTTCTGACTTCAGACCCAGTGCTCTATCCATTGAGACACCTATAAAGTTTTGCAAAGTACTTCACATATTGTATTTCATTTGAGCCTTGCTACAACTCTGAGAGGTGAGGCGACTATTATCCCCATTTTATAGATGGAGCAACTGAAACTGAGAGAAATTAAACTACTTGATAGTAAGTTTCTGAGGTAGGATTTGAACTCAGGTCTTCATACCACCTAGCTACGTATCAATCTTATGCTTTAAGGTTTGCAAAGCACTTTACATATGCTGTCTCACTTAAGCATTTATTATGTCTCTGCCCTCAAGGAGTTTCCATTCTCTTGGAGGAAACAATATGCACAGAGAAGGAATTTCAATATACTGCATGATGAAAGGTCATTTAGATTTGGAGGTTGCTACTTAATGTTCAAATTCCAGATAGTGCCCTTTACATGTTAGGGAATCTTAGCAAGTTGGTCATTGTAATGATGATTCAAAGATCCTGAAGGACCTAGAATAGAAGAGGCTGTTTCCCCAGAGTGAGAGCAGGAGTGTATGACTAATACATAAGCCTGTCCCTGTGTAACCTAAACTATAACTCCCCCTATTCATCAAGGCTATCCAAGCCGCTTAGAGTTCATAAGGCCCAGGGTCCTTGATTGTACTCTCCCTGGCACATACCTTGATTGCACGATAGCCTGGGGGGATTACCAAAAAACAAAACAAAACAAAACAAAACAAAAACCAACAAAAACTTGTTGACATTTCACCCCTGAATCATAGATCTTGGAACATCATAAAAGCAAATTTCTGGCTCAGATTATGGGTGAAAAAGGAAATTGGCTCTGAGTCCTTGCCACTCATTCTGAAATGCTTTCAGTGTAGAAGCTGGAGGGCAGTCTGTGTATGAGGGAAGACATGGGCATTAGGAGAGAGAACTTTTATTTTTACTTGACTATGAACCCTAGAAAAGTTAGCCAAATAGGGTTTTCCCCGCCTTTTCCCTGCTTTAAATGTTGCTCATTATTCATTAAGGGAAGAATGTAATGGCATTGTAGCCCCAAATAGACCATTTTTGCATCCCTACAAAGTTTAAAAATGGTGACTCATATGAGAGGAATTTTTTCCAGAGCTCAGTATTGACCCTTCACTCCCCATCCAGAAATGTGCAGGTTCTGAATTGATTAGATTTAGTTCTATGGCTGTTTTACCTGGGTATCTGACATTCCCCCTCCTCCTCATCCCAATTCTGTGAGGCCTCCTATAGTAGCAATATCCCTCCATTTGTACTCCATGGGCCAAATTGGGCATTCCCTTGAACCCTCGATCAAGTTCTCTGGGATAACCTGTTTTCTGTACAAAATTGCAGAAGAAAGTAGAAAGTTTACTAGATTGAAAGAGAAAATCCAGATTCAGATACCACTTGACCTCCACCACCTATCAGCTGTGCCAATAGGCAAGTTACAGGATTATAGGCTTTAGAGGTAGAAGGGACCTTAGAGGACATGAGGGAGTTCCATCTCTTCATTTTAGGTTAGATAACTAAGGTCTAGTGAAAGGAAATGACCTGTCCAAGGTAATATAGTTAGTAAGTGGCAAAAATTAAATCTTAATTTCTCTGAGGTTCAGAAAAATAGTAATACCTGCCCTGCCTAAACTGAATAAAATGAGACAATGAATGTGAAAGCATTTTGTGCATGGCAAAACTTAGAATAAATGTAAGGGGTTGGTACTGGTGTGATCTCTTTCCTCAAGGTAGTGATACCACTTTGTTTCCCTCAACAGATGGTTTGGTGTCTTACAATGCTCCAGCTGGACAGCAGTTTGTACTTCCTGGAGGTTCCATCATTTACCTGAATGATTCTGTCTATGATGGAGCTGTTGGGTACAGGTAAATTCTAGGGAACTTAGAAAAAAAAAAGAGTCAGTAATTGTTAAGTTACTAACATAGTTGCAAGGACTGAGAATCCATCAATCGGCCAATACATATTGAGTGTTGATAATGTAACTAGCACCGTTCTAAGTGCTAAGTGATATTTAACTTTGGGGGAACGGAGAGTTTGTAGGCTTTGAGTCAGGAGATCGGAGTTTGAATCCTAGCTCATGTGACCATGAGGCCAGGGAAAGAGTCAAGATGGTGAGAAATCAAGAAGAATGAGAGTTTGCAACTGCCAAAGCTGCCCCCAACCCTCTTTTCCACCAACCACAGAAAATGCACCACAGTGAAATCTGAGCAGGAAAGCCAAGAAAAAGTCACAGGAATCATTTTTTTCCAGCCCAGAAAAACCTAGGAAGACAGAAAGAGAAGTCTACAGACAGGGGGTCAGGGCTGCTCAGGATCATGGTGGGCTGTGGTGGCAGTGGTGCTGGGAACAGCTCCCAGGAATGAAAAGAGGGACTGAAAACCTGGGCAGAAAGAGATCCCAGGGGACTCCTATACCAGCTTGGGGCATAGGACCGGATACCAGTTGGCAGCTGTGTGTCCATTACCCAGCTCCAGGCCACAATTCAAGGGCAGAGAGAAACAGTTGTAGTTGTGAAGAAGCAGGAGCCCTACCTTTGAAGAGACCAGAACTCAGATCAGGAAAGCAGTGAACAGACCTCTCCCTGGATCACACCACTTTGGAAGTGACAAAAACTTATAGATTTCCAGACTGAGCTGTGAAAGCAAAAGGACATAAAAGACAGAAACTCAGATCAGTCATTGCCCTCCCCAACCCCCCAGATGTGAGCAGAGCTCAACTCTAACATAAAATCCAAAGTTGTGAAGTAGACTGGGAAAAATGAGCAAACTACAACAAAAAAGACTTTACAATGAAAATCTGTTATGGTGACAGGCAAGCTCATGACACAAACTTGGAGAAGACAATGACATGAAAACGTCTACAAGCAACGCCTCAAAGAAGAAAATGCAGATTGGACGCAAGCCCAATAAGAATTCCCAGAAGAGCTCAAGAAAGAGATAAAAAGAACCAAAACAAAAGATTTTAAAAATCAATTAAAAGCAGTAGAGGAAAAATTGAACAAAGAAATAAGAGCTATGAAATAAAATTAGGAAAAGAGAATTAACAGCATGGTAAAAGAGGCACAAAAATACTGGAAATAACTTCTTAAAAATCAAAATTGGTCAAGTGGCAACAGAGATACAAGAAAATACTGAAGAAAATATCTCCTTAAAAATTAGAATTGGTCAAGTGGAAGCTAATGACTCCACAAGACATCAAGAAACAATAAAACAAAGTCAAAACATGAAAAAAAAATAGTAGAAAATGTGAAATGTCTCAAGAAAAACAAATGACCTGGAAAATAGATCAAGGAAAGATAATTTAAGAATTATTGGTCTACCTGAAAGCCTTGAACCTGTGTGACCATGAGCAAGTCATTTAGCTTTCTATGAACCTCTTCTAAATACATTTTTTTTCAAATACATGAAGACAAAGATCACGATCCCCTAAGTCTTCTCTTTTCTAGACTAAACATCCTCAGTTCCTTCAATCAGTCTAAATGGCTCTCCATCATCCTACTCGCCCTCCTATGAACACTCTTCAGCTTATCAATGTGACTACCAAAATTAAGCACAAACAGTATAGGGGGACTATTACTTTCTTAACTGCTATATTTAAGATCAGGTCAGCTTTTGGGCACACATACAATTTTACTGACTCATACTGAGTTTGTAGTCCATTAAAACTCTTGTTAGTTTTTTTTTTTTAGACAAGCTGCTACCTAACCAAACCTATCCTATCCTGTATTTGCAAAATTGATTTTCTTTTCAACCCAAGTAGAAGACTCTACATTTATCCATATTGACTTTTATCCTTTTAGATTCAGTCCAATGCTATAGCCTTGTGATCCTGCCTACGGGCCAAATCCAGTGACTGCCTGTTTTAGCATGTTTTTGTATGGCCCCGTGAACTAAGAATGATTTTTACATTTTTAAATAAAGTATTATTGTATTTTAAAATGTAAAAAAAAAAAATTCTTAGCTCATGGGAAGTCCAAAAACTGGTCAGATTTGGCCCTCAGACTATTTGCTGACCCCTGCAGCCTGCTCACATCTTTTGGGGTTTTGACTCTATCATCTAATGCATTAGCTATCCTTTCCAACTTTATGTCATCTGCAAATTTGTTGTCACTTTATTTTTGCTACTTCTTATTGTGATAATTTACCATTGTATAATACCCTTTTTTGTTCAAGAAAAAAGAATTAAGCAAAACAAACATATAGAGGCCTTCACCATCAGAATCATGCAGTGTTTGGCATGGATTGTCCCTTCTCTCCCAGCTACTGAGAAGAAGGAGGAGGGAGGCCTATTTCATTGTCTGTCCTCTGGAGCTAATATTGTCATTGCATCTAGTGAGTTCAGATGATTTGCATTGTTGTTTTCCTTCATGTGATTGGAGTAATTTTGCAGATTTTATAGTTTCTGCTCACTTTGCCTTGTATGACAGAGGTTGTGTGGTAGAGCAGGAAGAGCTGAATTTGGAGTCTGAGGACCCAAAGGGTTCAAATCCCTGCCCTGTTCCTGACTACTTGTGTGATCTGGGACAAGTCACTCCATTCTCCTCGATTTAAGTAAAATCCAGACAGAAAGAGTTTAATAGCTTTTCCTCTTATAATTCCCAATTGCTCCCTATAACATTTAAACTAATTCCTGGTCAACAGTGCCCCTGCCTTCCCAGAACCCTTTCAACCTTGATCATTTCAATCTTTTATCAGCTTTGACAGCTCAATAGGCATGAGGCAAAATCTCAAAGTTGTTTTAATTTGAATTTCTCTTTATATTAGTGGTTGCAGAATTGTCAAAATTCCCTGTGGCCAGAATCACAATAAAAAATAATTAGGACATGTTTTAACAAAATAAATAAAAATATCATACAATATAGATAATATAAATTTGTGCTTTTCTAAGTCAATATGCAGCCCACAGGAATACCTTTTGATTTGAATTTGACACCACTGATGTAGAGCACTTTTTCATATATTTGTTGATAAATTTCATTTCTTTAAAAAACTGTGTAATTTGTTCAGTTATTTATTGTTAGGTGACTCTTATTTTTGTATTTGTCAATTCCCCATATATCTTACACTTTAGATTTTTATCAGATATGTCTGGTGCAATGATTTCTTGGTCACAATTCCTATTTCATCATGTATGCCTTTATCCAATTCACTGCTAAAATATTAAGCAAGGCTAAGCACAGATACCCAGGGCACTCCACTGGAGACTTGCTTCGAAGATGACATTAAACCATTAATGTTTAGATCTGGTCATTGAACCAATTCAAAATCCATATAACTGTACTGTTTCTCTGGCCCATTTTATTATCTTATTCACAAGAATAGCAGAAAAGATTCTGTTGACTGCTTTGCTAAAATCTAGGTAAGCTGTATTTCTAGCAATCTGCAGATCCACCAGTCTAGTAACCCTGTCGAAAAAGGAAATAAAGTTAGTTTGGTATGACTTGTTTTTGATGAAGCTGTATGTGCTCTTTTTGATCACCACTTCCTTTTCCTTTCCTTTTTTTTTTTTTTGGCTAGGCAATGGGGTTAAGTGACTTGGCCAGGGTCACACAGCTAGTAAGTATTATATGTCTGAGGCCAGATTTGAACTCAGGTCTGCCTGAATCCAGGCCTAATGCTCTATCCGCTGCGCCATCTAGCTGCCCCACTACTTCCTTTTCTAGAAGCTTAGAAGACAGACATATAATATAATACAGTGGATGATTAAGTGTTAATTTATGGAGTAAAAACTCTAAGATCTGTAGAAATTTAGAGGGGGAAGAGAGAGAGATCAATAAAAGTTGAGGGCAATCAAGGAAGGCTTTATGGAGGAGATAGACCTTGAACTAGGGCTTGAAGAAAAGATCATACTTAAAAACAGAGAAGGAAAGATGTTCCATGTGGGGAGAACAGCATGAGCCTGGTGACTCTGTGATACAATGCAACTAGCCTGCCTGGGACAGAGGGTATAGGAAATAAGGCTAGCCAGGATTTGTGGGAAATAAGGCTAGCATGAGAGAGTGGGTCAAGATTATGTAGAAAAAGCCTTGAAAACCAGGCAAAAGAGTTTAAAAGCAGTTCAATTGGCTGGTGAAAGTGTTAGCCTCACCATTTTTCTAGCCATGCCTTTCTAGTCCTCTCCAAAGCTTAGTCCCCAGCCCCTTTCTCACTTTGTTCAGCTGCCAGTACCCACCTGCAGCCATGGAACTATCAATCCACGAACCAGCAAGCACTTAAGGAGAATGGACTTTAGGGGTCACCTAGTCCAGGGGTTCTTAACTTTTTTTGTCATTATGGTGAAGCCTCTGGACTCCTCAGAGCAATGCTTTTAAACAAGTAAGACAAAACACACAGGACTACAAAAGCAACCAATTATACTGAAATAAATTAATTTATTATATATAAATTATCTGTTGTATATAATATAATAGTATACATAATTATCATACACAAATTATTTATTATATACCATTCTATTGTATACATAAATTATTTATTGTATATAATATAATAATACATATGTATTTATTATATATATATATACACTATTGCATTACATATATAATATATATGTACATATATAATATATTGTACATGATATAATAGCATATATAGTTACTTATAAAGATTATGTTACATATATACTATATTACATATATCACATTGAGGGATATCAATGCTGCCCTGAAGACACAAGCCTAAAGTCAGAGACTGGAAGGGACTGGGGTGAAAGAAGGAACCTGAGAGTGTCTGTGTGTATGTGTGTGTGTGTGTGTGTGTGTGTGTGTGTGTGTGTGTGTGTGTGTGTGTATGTGTGTAGCGGGGGTTAAGGATAATGTTAGGAAGCTCCCTCTGGGACCTGTGTAAGCAGCAGCTCACTTAGTTGTCATCCTAGCATGAGGCCCTGTGGAGCCAATTCACCAAGGCGCTAGCTTTCAACCTGCTGAGTCATTCTTCTTTACCAAGTTTGCTGGTCTTTCCCTGGCATCATTTTCTTCAACTATATTCAGGAGAATGTGCTGTAGGCTCAGAGAGAATTAGGCAATTGGTTTTGTAAATTGATGATTTGATTTGATTCTGACCCAAGTGAAAAATTTCTCTCTCTCTCTCTCTCTCTTTTTTAAATAATATTTTCACAAATTTTTCTTGGCAACTTGTATTCAGGGTCTGAAAGTGGAGCGTATTTGTTAGGAATAACTTTTGTGTTATTCTCTTAGCCTCGTGGTTTGAGGAAGACATAGAATGGGAGGACGGTGATACAAAATGCAACCGTAGGCTCTGGTCTCTGTGGACAAGGCCAATGCAAATTTTGCAGGTTGGAGGCCATGTTTTAAGGACTTAATCCTGCTTTATATTTTAACTTCTCTGTAAAGATATTGTAAAATGATTTGATATTTTGAAGCACTGTGTGGGACACAGCCATACCTTGTGTAGAGTAGATGTGTGGTTGCTCTGAAGTTTAATGACATACCCTTTTCATTTGTGATGTCCATGCTATTCCTTCTGTGAATACAAGGTGTGGAGACTAAAGAGGGGAGAGAAACTTGAAAATAATAATTCATCTTTCTCTTCCTCTTCTGCTACTTTAATTGTCATCATCTTCTTTCGACAGGGAACGGGCTACTCAGTCCCTCCTAAACACCCCTATCCATAATAAATATGCATAGGTTAGTGTCTTGGAATGAATTTTCTTGGTGGTTTGGTTGAATTTAAATATTACTTAGCAAAGAATTTTCAGCAAATCCAAGCAACTGAAAGCTTAAAAGTAGGCAGAAATCTCCCCAGGATTGACAAGAGCTGCCACAAAGTCATGAACTTCATTCCACAGAAAGGATAGGACTAATCTTCCAGAAACTTCTTGCCTTAGAATTGCACAGGCTTGCGATTTAATAATGATAATTTTTTTTATTTAGCAAGCATTTATTAAACATCTACTACATACTACACAAAGTGCTAGGTGAAGAAAATACAAAAAAAATTCCTTTTCAGTTATTTTAGAACATTGAGCTGGTGAGTGTGTGTGTATATGTGTGTGTGTGTGTGTGAGTGGGGAGCATGGGGGTCGGGCTGAGGTAGGCAGAACGAAGTAAGGAGGAAAAAGGAAATACTGTCTGCTCCAAAGTTAACACACTGAGAAATTACTTCTGACAGGGGAAAATGCAACAACAGCATCACCAAAAGCAGCCTGAGGCCACTCAAAATGGCGCTATACAGCCTTACACATTGGAGTATGACCCTGAGTCACTGAAAAGACTAAGTAATGTTTCACGGATTCTATTTAAAAGACAAGGAAATCTATAACACATCTGAGAACTATTTCCACCCAAAATGGTTACTGTCACCTAAACCCAATGTCCCTCGAGAACTTTCTCTCAGGAAGCAAGCTCAGCTGGCGCATTTCAGATAGGCAGCATCTGACCCAATCTGGATTACAACTTTTTCGTCCTCATACCCTCAGTTCTGATATTTGGACACTACATAGGGTTGAGAAGAGTAGCAGGGAGCAAGAGCGGCACCTACCTTGAAGCCCAATCCACAATACACCTGTGACCACTCCTCTACCTCCATGTTGCAGTGATGGTACAAGATGAGAATACCAAAGACCAATGGTGTGGGCACCACTGGCAACCTTACTGATCATCTCTATAACTCATTCCATAGTCTACTAGTACAAAAGTAATAGTAATAATGGATCATAGATCTGGAGATGGAAAAGACCTCAGAGGCCATCCAGTCTCATTCCCCACTTCACTAGTGACAAAACTGAGGGCAAGGGAGAGGAGTGTTCAAAGTGACTTCCCCAAGGTAACATAGGTAGCAAGCATCAGAGACAGTGTTTGAACCCCTTTATCCACTCTATGCCCAATCACAGCCAGTTTCTGTACCTCCCAAGCATTCACATTAGTCCCCTTCCTACCTGTCAGTACCATGAATCAGTCACTTCCTGGTATAGCAGGGGAAGAAACTCTCCCCGGGTCCTGTGTAAGCAATAATAACCGTACTTACTTCTCTGTGTGTTACAAGTGCCTCAACCTCTTCAGAGTTAAACACTTTAAAGAAATGTTCTGCTTTATTTATATGGAAAATTCAATTATCTGGAATGCCTCTTTATCCAACCAAATAAATGACTCATTATTGTAAAATGAATTCTTTTTATTTTTACATTTTCTTGAGAAATTCACAACTCCCCATTCTTGAGATTATTGAAAAAACTTTGGTGTGTTACCAAATTCCTGTAGGGAATGATTCAGCGAATATAGTATTAACTCTAGGCTCTCCTCTCCTTTTCCCCTCCTCTCTTGGGCTGGCCAGCATGACAGAAGGTCTGGGGCAACTGACAGACGGAGTTTCTGGCCTGGACGACTTCACTCAGACCCATGAGTACCACGTTTGGCCTGGCTATGATTACGTGGGCTGGAGGAATGAAAGTGCCACCAATGGTTACATCGAGATCATGTTTGAATTTGACCGGATCAGGAATTTCACTACCATGAAGGTCAGTGGCCATCAGACTTTGGGGGAGCTTTTCTAAGAGGACTGAGAAATGGCCCTGGGCTCTGATGGGATGGGGAGGGAATGGGATAGAATCCTCTCTGTCTGGTTCAGATAACTCTCAGTCAATTTAAATAGTCCTTTCTAAACTGAATGAGGTTCAGTTGGGTATGGAAATCTGTCTTACCCTACAGGAAAATGGGGGGAGAAGGGGACAAGAGAGCAGGGGATGATAGAAGGAGGGCAGATTGGGAAAGGGGGTAATCAGAAGTAAATACTTCTGAGGAGGGACAGGGTCAAAAGAAAGAATAGAATAAATGGGAGGGCAGGATAGGATTAAGGGAAATAGAGTTAGTTTTTCACAACATGTCTACTATGGACGTGTTTTGCATAACTGCACATGTACAACCTATATTGAGTTGCTTGCCTTTTCAGTGAGGGTGGGTGGGGAGGGAGGAAGTGAGAAAATGTAAAACCTAAAGTTTTAAAAACATATGTTTAAAAAAATGTTTTCGCATGCTACTGGGAAATAAGAAATATAGGAAATGGGATACAGAAGTCTATCCTGCCCTACAGGAAAATAGAAGGGGAAAGGGGATAAGAGAAGGGGAGAGAGATAGAAGAGAGGACAGACTAGGGGAAGGGATATTCAGAATGCATGCCATCTTGGGGTGAGGGGAGGGGGGAGATGGGGTGAAAATTTGGAACTCAAAAACTTGTAGAAGTGAATGTTGAAAACTAAAAATAAATAAATTTATATTAAAAAAAGATTAAAAAAAGTTGATGCTGAAATAGGTATACATCCAAATGTTGAGATGAAATAAACAATAAAACAATCAAATAAAAATAAACTGAATGAGGAAAAGGAGGCAAAAAGAGAGGAGCCAAGACCACCCATGACTTGGGCAGCAAATGAAGCAGGCATCTGTGCTGGGATAACTGGGATTTACTGTAGAGAGACAGGAGGCAGAATGGGGGGAAACGCACTGGATCTGGAGTAAGAAGATGGCTTCATATCCTCACTTTTTAACTTACTGTTGGTGTTGTGAGCACCGTAAGATCATAGGATCGAATATTTAGAGCTGAAAACAGCCTTAGAAGTCATTTAGTCCAATCCTTATTTTACAAATGAAGAAACTGAGGCCTGCCCACAGAGATTAAGTGACTTGCCCATAGTCACATAGGTAAACACAGCCAGGATCTGAATCTTCATTCTTAGGCTCAAAATTCATTGTGACACAGCTTCTAATTACCTTCACCTTTCCAAATTCATACCTCAAAAACTCTACATTTTTCACCCACCTTCTTTGATCCAGATTTTGAGGAAGAGGTAGCCCTTCCTGGCAAGACTGACCCCCTTCACTTGTGCTTGATTCCATCTTACGCCCCTCTCCTTTGGGAGCTTTCTCCCGTCGTTTATGTATGTCTCTCCCCGCCTCTTTCTGTCTCTCTTCCTCCTTTCCCCCTTTTCTTTCTTTCTTTCTCTCTGACTCTCTGTTTCTGTCTCTCTTCCTCCTTTCCCCCTTTTCTTTCTTTCTTTCTCTCCAACTCTCTGTTTCTGTCTCTCTTCCTCCTTTCCCCCTTTTCTTTCTCTCTTTCTTTCTCTCTGACTCTTTCTCTCTCCAACTCTCTCACTTCCTGCTTTTCTTTTTCTCGTTGTCTCTCTGTTTCTGTGTCTTTCTCCCCCTCTGCCCTTCTTTACTTTTCTGTAGCTATTGATGTTGTTGATATGCTTTTCTTCTTTGGCTTCCATGACACAGCGCTCTCTGGCTCTCTTAACCTGTGTGACCACTCCTTTTTAGTTACTTCTCTTATCCTGATTCAGCATCCCTTTACTTTGCCCCTTAGTCTGACTGTCCCTCAAGGATCTGTCCTTGGCCCTCTTCTGTTCTCTCTCTCTACACTGTCTCCCTTAGTAATGTCATTCACTCTCACTGATGAATTGAATGAAAAGAATTATTTCTATGCCGATGACTCCCAGATCTATAAATGTAGCATTGATCTCTCACCTGGGGGCACCTAGGTGGTGCCATGGTGCATGAAGCACTGGACCTGGGGTAAGGAAGACAAATTTAAATTTGGCCTCAGGCAAGTCACTTTAACCTCTGTTTGTCTTAGTTTCCTTATCTGTAAAAAATTTCTGTAAATTTCTGTAAAAAGAACTATTTAAAAAATCAGAATAATAATAGCACCTAACAGAGTTGTAGTGAGGATCAAATGAGATAATATTTGTAGAGTATTTAGCACAGTGCCTGGTATATGATAGGCACAATATAAATATTATTTTATTTCTTTCTTTCTCCTTTCTTCCTTCCTTTCTTTCTTCATTCATCCATTTGTTACTATCCTGAATGCCAGTCCTTCATCTTCAAATGTGCACTAGACATCTCTACCTGGATGTCCCACTGACATATGAAATTCAATATGTTTCAAATTTAACTTATATCTTCTTCAAATTTTTCTCCTCTTCCAAACTTCCCTGTTTCTGTTAAGGATACAACCAGCAAGCCTTGACCCTGGACTCTTGAAATAACCTCCTAATCTGCCTCCCTGCAATTCCTCCCTACCATGTCCAATTCACTTTTCACACAGCTACCAAAATAATCTTCCTTATAGCAGGTCTGATTATATTACCTTTTGGTTCAAACACCTTCAGGTGCTTCCTGTTGCCTTTAGTATAAAATACAAACTCCTTAGTCTGACATTAATTATCTCCCACAATCTGTTTCAAACCTACCTTTCTGGCCTCATTTCACATTATTCCCTTGCATGAACTCTGGGGTGTGCTAGAGCCTGCTCATACTAGCTTCTGATTGTCAAATTTTCATTGTGAGCATTTACACCTGAAAATAGGTAAACTCTACAAATCAGGGCTTGATTTATCTTCTGTGGGTTGTCTAGACTTAAGAAAGTGATGAAGATGTGAATACCAATTAAACTTAAGTGTGTATCAAGTGATTTCCCCCCACACACACACGTCAGTTGTTAAACATTTACCACCTACTCTTGCATGCACTACACATTCCAGCCAGATTCTACCATGAGCTGTTCCCTTACCTCAATCTGCCATCCTTGGCCTCCATGCTTTTACCCAAGGCATCTTTCATGCCAGCAATGTATTATTTCCTCGTCTTTACTGTTCAAAATCCTGATCTTCCTTTAAGGCTCAGCTCAGGTGTGACCTCCTCCATGTAGCCTTCACTTCTTCACTGATCATTGTCCTCTCCCCCCAAGCTCTCTCCCTCCTTCATTTTTTCCTATGGCATTTTTTTCCTAATTAATCTTTCTCTAGCCTTTATTGCTCAGTAACTTCTATCTAATTAATTGTGCACATGTTGAATACGCCTAGTAAAATGTAATTTCTTAAGGTCAGTTGCTCTTTCATTTTTGTTTCTGTATCTCAAGCACTTTACATGCCAAAGTCACTTAATAATTGTAGAATTATTGAAATATTTGTTAAATGTTGAGGCTTCATGGAGCAATGGGCCTGGAGTCAGAAAAACCCGAGTTCAAATCTGGCCTCAGACACTTACTAGCTGTGTGGCCCTGGGCAAGTCACTTATCTGTGTTTACCTCAGTTTCCTCATCTATAAAATGAGCTGGAGAAGGAAATGGCAAAACACTCCAGTATCTTTGCCAAGAAAACCCCAAATGGGATCACGAAGAATTAGACATGACTGAAATGACTGAACAACAACTAAGTCCAACCCACTTATTTTACAGATGAGGAAACAGGACTGGACTTAAGTGACTCACTCAAGCTGGCAAGGGTGGCATTTGGAGATAGGTCTGTTTAAAAATCTGTCATAATTCTTTATATACTGCCTCACATTCACAGTGGTTAACCAGTATACACTGGCATTTGTATAATGGTTTAGGGTTTACAACCTTTCCTCTCACAACAACCCTGTGAAATAAATGGCATGAATACTGTCACTATTTTAAGGCTGAGGAAACAGCTCAGAGAGGCTTGAGGATTGCCCAGACTCACACAGCTCACACATGGAAGGGCCAGGACCTGAGCCCAGGCGAGTGTTTCTAACTTCGAGTCATGTTAATTTCACCAAACCGTACACTAAGGGACATGTATTAAAACTGCCCATTTGCAGACTGGCATGGCCATGTGTAAATGACCAGATGGGGGCCTATCCCAGTACAGAGAGCTACTGTCTTCCAGAAAACAGTTAACTTGCCCTAGTAAAAGGTCCAGCAAATGTCTAGGGTGAGTGTGTACACATGTGAATGAAATTCTAGGCTGTTTATTTGCATTCCAGAAGAATTCCTCAAAACATCTGTGGAAAAGATTATCACCTTCCCCACAGGCTACTTTTCTCATTCTACAGATTTCAAAACCATCTGAGAAGATTATTGTAGCTGTGAATGGTGTCTTTTGATTCTCTCTGTCTGTCTGTCTGTCTGACTCTCTTTCTCTCTGCTCCGTAGCATCATTAACAAATGCTCAGCAAAGGAAAGCAGCTGGTTCTCCCAAGGAAGGTGTTAGCACATGATTTCATCATTGGAACAGCTGGAGAAAAACTAAAGGGAAACTAGAAGACTTGGGAGTATCATAGATCTAAACCCTATGGGGATCTCAGAGTCCACTGATTCAGCTCATTCATTTTAGCGAGAAGGAAACTGAGGTCTAGGAGGATGCAGTCACTATCCACGGCCAGGGAAGGAGTGAATGTCAGAAATAGGATTTGAACCAAAGCCCCCTGACTCTACTTAGTTTATTGACTCTATGAAGAAAAGGAAGAAAAATGCATTTATTAACTGCCTACTATGTGCCAAGCACTTTCCAAGTATTATCTCGTTTGAGCCTCACAACAGCTCGGGGAGGCTTTTGTTGTTGTTCCATTATTTCTGACTCTTTGTGACCTCACTGGGGGTTTTCTTGGCAAAGATACTGGAGTGGTTTGCTATTTCCTTCTCCAGTTCATTTTACAGATGAGGAAACTGAGGCAGACAGCGGTTAGGGGACTTGTGAAGGGCCAAGTAAAAATCTGAGGCCAGATTTGAACTCTGGTCTTCCTAACTGCTGGCCCAGCACTCTCTCCACGGCACCAGGCAGACACCGCTATGATATGACCAAAGAGTCCACTCTGTAGCTGGATGACGTTCTTTTCCAGTTTGGATCAAGGCCCATTACTACATGAATCAATGAATTACACAATTCTGACCCAGAGATGGCAGAAATCACCAGACAACATCATGGGAGAGAATGACTGAATGTGAACTGATTGTTCCATCATTTTATTGTTAGTAGAGGGTATAATAGCTGTTATTTATATAGTGCTATGTCAGAGGAAAAAAATGTCCTTTTCCCCACTCAATAAAGTGCTTTAGCTCAAAGAGATTCCGTTAATGACACTAAGGCTGTGTCTGGTGGGTAGAAATCAATCAGTTGATTTTTATCTGACAAAACAGAAAGAGAAGGCATTTTTAACTCCATAATATCCAATCATTTGACAAAAGTGTATTTATCACGTACCACGTGCAATTCACTGTTCAAGATGCTGGAGAGTCCAAAGATTTGGAGGTAGCATCATACAGAGGAAATAGCTGTGGTTCTGGACTCAGAGGAAGTAGGTTCAAATCCTGCCTTGAATACTCCCTATTTGACCCATTTTCCTTACATAGGAAATAAAAGGCATTAGACTAGATGGGTCTGAGGTCCCTCTTCATTCCTGATCTTTCATACTACATTTATGATGCAGATCTTGTTTTCAAGCTGATTGGGGTAGGGGAGAGAAGCAGCTAGGTTGTTTAGTGAATAGAGTGTTGGGCCTGGAGTCAGGAAGACTTGAGTTCAAATCCAGCCTTAGATACTTACCAGCTTGTGACCTTGGGCAAGTCATTTAACCTCTGTTTATCTTAACCCCCTGGAGAAGAAAATGGCAAACCACTCCAGTATCTTTGCCAAGAAAACCCTCCAGACAGTACTGGTGTGCTACGGTCCATGTGCTCATAAAGAGTCAGACACAACTGAACAACAACGACAAAGGGAGGTGAAAAGTTCACAGACTACCATGGCCTTCACAAGCTGGAAGGCCAGGTAGGTTGTTTTTTTTTTTTTTTTTTTTTTTTTTACCATTTTACCCCTGCTCCCAGGATTCTCTAGGACCCTTACAGGGGTCTAGGATGTCTAAGCTCTTTGCAAATGGCACCAACCTTCCCCAGTGGTGATGCCTCCCATTGTAGGGGGGGAATCCCCTGCACTACTGTTTCATTTAGCTGCTAATAGTGAGATTAGCTTTTACACAGAAATATTTACTCCAAAAAGTATAATCACAAATACATAAACTTACTCCATTAACATGTTGGAGGCATGATCCCTCTTCTGCCTTATACCTCCTCAGTCTTTGGGGAGGGAAAACAGATTAGACACATAGCTTAACTCACTTCCCATAGAGAACAGTCCCAGCTCCAAGTCCAGAGGGCCCCTCTGATTTGAGTCCCAGGCTTCTCAGTGCTTCCATGCCTGACTGGCAAGTACCACCCTGCCTGCAATCCTGGCTCCAAGGTCACCCTGGCTGGAACTCCCACAGGGAGTCTTAGCATCTGAAACTGAGGAGGACAAGCCACACATAACAGAAACAAACACTCAGGCCCATTTCTTTGAGTCAAGATAAAAGTGGGAGTGGGAAAAGGAAACCCTTCCCCTCTCACTGGTTCAATTCATGGCATCCTTGCTGTAGGGGAGCTGGAATCTTCACCCTCTGGATACAGCAGATAAGAGTTACCCAAAAAAAAAAACCCAACAGAAAAAATGAACAGAAAAGAAGCCATTGATTCAGTCTTGGAAGTCTTAAATACTCAAGTAGTCATGTGGTAGGGGATTCAGGCAGCCATGTTACCTGAACTGGGCATAACTCAGACCAGCTTGTGCTACATACAACTGCTATTTCTAGCACCTATTTTCAATAGTATAGATAACTCTCAGATAGGGGAGCTTCTTCTGCCTGTACTTCCCTGTAGCCTTAGAGGATTGCCCAGAACACAAATGACTTACACAAGGTGACAAAACTCATACATAGCACATATCACAAGTAGGTTTTGAACTCAGGTCTTCTTGGCTTGCTGGCTGGCTCTCCAGGGGTGAGTGAGACCAATTCAATGGAGAAGTCAAGGCAAAGTGTCATGAGAACACTGAAGAAAAAAAAGAGAGCCCTTTGCTCTTCAAGTTAGAGTGGGGGAGAGATAAGGTCAGGAAAGGCATAATGGAAGAGGAAACACTTAAGCTGGGCCTTGAAGGATGGGAGGGATTTCAACAGATAAAGATGGGTAGAAAAGTGGCCAAGAGGCAGAGGTAGAAGTCATAGATGGGAAAATGTGGGGCAAGAGTAGTTCAATATAGCAAGAATGTAGTATATGTGAAGAGAAGTGGGAAGAAATGAGGCTGGAGATGTAGGCTGAAGTTAGACTTTAGAGAGCCTTGAATGCCAGAAGCAGGGTTAGCCCCTGGAGGAAGAGCAAGATGAACACTTTTGAGTAGAAGATTATATTAGGAAAATTATTATAGTTGTGGTGTGAAGGTTAGCCTGGAGGCAGGAGGACCACTTAGGAGGCTTTTACATTAGTCTTGATAAAAATAGAGGAGGGCCTAAACACCAGGGTGGTGACAGTGCCAAATACAGTGGATATATGGCCATCCTTTCAGTTGGACTCTTTGTTATTTTGTTGATTTTTTAAAAATACATATTATTTGCAGGAAATTATGTAAGAAGTGGGATGTTTTTTATGGCATTTCAGTTGGAGAAAAGAGTAGTGGGGGTGGTTTTAGGCCTTCCTTGAAAAGGGGTTGGTTGGAATCCTGCCCCATTCCCCTACTCCAGTGAAGCTCTAGTCTCTTTTTCAGTGGATCCCAAGATGTGGTAAGTAGGGTTACCTTTGGAGTTCCTGCAAGGGAGAAATGGGAAGATAAAGTGGACCATGATCATGTGGATTGCACATTGGGGGAAAATCTGAGTGCTGCAGGGTGGTTGGAAGCCTTCCGCTATAAGTTGTAGCTGGTATACTCACCCATGGATCTGTCTCCTTCTCCTCGCCAGGTCCACTGCAACAACATGTTTGCTAAGGGGGTGAAGATCTTTAAGGAAGTTCAGTGCTACTTCCGCTCGGAGTCCAATGAATGGGAACCCAACGCTGTCTCCTTCCTCCTGGTCCTGGATGACGTCAACCCCAGTGCCCGCTTTGTCACGGTGCCTCTCCTTCACCGAATGGCCAGCGCCATCAAGTGCCAGTTTCACTTCGCTGATACCTGGATGATGTTTAGTGAAATCACCTTTCAGTCAGGTACCCATGTGAAGAAGGGCAGGGGATAGAGTCATATCAGAGGGAAAAGGGTGGTGAAGACAAAGATGGTAATGGGCACATCATGGGAAATGTGAGCTGCCTGATTGGTGGCTTAGAGGGGTGGACTTAAAGAGACTGCTTCTGAAGAATGGATAGAGGGAAGGGGAAAGTAGAGAATGACAGAGTATGATTTCTGAGCAAGTGTTCAGAGAGGATGTAACGTAAGTGAACCAATCGAGAGTTAGCATATGTAACCCATCTATGCAATGGTATGTTGGTAAATGTTTAACAACTGGCTTATTAGGGAGAAAATGTGTGCATGATAAACTTTTGGGTTTAGTCTGCAGTATTAGCATTTTCTCCCTCTTAATCTTAAATTTCAAAAATTGACAAAACAATAAATCAAGTCCTGATTTGTAGCATCAGTTAATTTCCAATCCTAACACTAAAAATTTAAAAATTGACTCTTCTGAGCCAGTTCAAGCTGGCTCAAGCACACCTCTAGATGTATGCTTTTTCCAACATTGTCATCCTCATCCACAATGACAATAAACATTCATTGAGCAACATCTATGACTAGGCACTAAAAATCAAGAGACGCAGGAGATTTGGTCATTACTTACACGACAGGACATCCAATTCACCAATCATTAAATGCCTACTACGTGCAAGGCACTATTTTATTTGGTGGGTATACAAAGATGAAAGCAAAATAATTCCTACTCTTTTTCATTCTAAACTAAGATATATACTAAGTACAAAGTGAACTATAAGAGTAAAGAGGAGGAAGAGGTCAAAGTGAAGTGGGTCACCAAGAAAGGTCCTTCAGGATTTAGGAAAGAAGAAAGGTATTATGACTAGGACTCAGTCACTGATAGGAATGGGACAGACTGTGGATGGATTGGACTTGGAGACGAGGCAGATCTACAGAGCTGGGGCAGGTATAGGGATCCCATAGCAAGTAATCATTCATCTAAATGAGAATTTACTCCATAAGATACACAATGTATAGTTACCCAGCCTATGCTTGAAGACTTTCACTGAGAGGCAACTGATAATTCCCATGGCACTGGATCACTCTAATTACAAGTAAACTTTTCCTTAGATCAAAACTATATCTTCTTGTCGATGGCTACTCTGTTCTAAATTCTGCCGTCTGAGCCCAGGCAAAATGTCCAATGTCTTTTCCATGCAATAGTTCTTCAAATACTTGAAGATAGCTATCATGTCTCCCCTAAGTTTTCTCTTTTTCAGGCAAAACATGACTACTTTCTTTAACCAATCCTTATTTTACATAATCTTCCTCCTCTTTTTATGTTTTATTGTATTTTTATTTCTTTTGCTAAATATTTTCTAATTATACTTTTTAACATTTCACTTTTAAAAATTTTGAGTTCCAAATTTTCTCTCTCCAGTCCTTCCCCCACCCACTGAGAAGGTACATAATATGATATCAATTATACATGTGAAATCATGAAAACATATTTCCATATTAGACATGTTGCAAAAAAGGAAGAAAAATAAAGTGAAAAAAGTATGCTTCAAACTACACTCAGACTTCATCCTTTTTCTCTTTGGAGGTGGATAGAATTTTTCATCATAAGTCCTTTACGTATTAGACATAATCTTTAGGTCCTTTTCCATACTGGCTGCCATCTTGTGAGTGTCTTTAATTATCAAAGTCCTTACTAAAATGTAGTGTTCGAGGCTTGAGCAGGACGGCAAGATTGTCACCTCCTAGACTATGTTTCTCAGTGTTACTTAAGATTAACTTTCTTAGCTATCTTATCAAATCATTGATTCACATTGAACTTTCCATGAAAACCCCAGAATTTTTTCATATGAATTACTATAGAAGGGATTTCAAAAGTCTTACTGCAGTTTTAAGCTATTAAAGTTTTGATCAATGTATAGAGGGAAAGAAAGTGGAGAATGACAGTGGATAATATCTTACAAGTAAGTGGCTAGAGAGGATAATAAACCAATAAAAATAAACCAGTGAAGGATAAACCCATCTTTGCAGTGGCCTGCCAGTAAATGTTTGATAACTTCTTGTTGTTCAGTCATTTCAGCCATGTCTGCATCCCCATTTTGGGGTTTTCTTGGCAGAGATACTGACTCAGTTTGTCATTTCCTTCTCCAGTTCATTTTTGCAGATGAGGAAACTGAGGAAAACAGGGTCAAGTGACTTGCTCAGAGTCACACAGCTAGTATATGTCTGAGGCCAGATTTGAACTCAGGATGATAAGTCTTCCTGACTTCATACTCGATGCTCTATCCACTATGCCACCTAATTGCCCAAATATTGTAATGCAATATGTTAAATATTGATCACAGTTTTGGGTTATCTGCAAATTCAATCAACAAATCATCAAGGTAATTATCCTAGCTATTTATAATTAAAATTGCTTAACAAGATGGGGTCAAGCACAGATCTCTGGGACCTTTTACTACAGACCACTGCCAAAATGTCATTGAACTATGAATGACTATCCTTTGAGGCCAGTTCTCCAACTAAACCTTAATTTTCCTAATTGTGTTATTGTCTGGCCAAAATCAATCCATTTTTGCCATAATAATAATGGGAGAGGCTTTAGCAAATGCTTTGCTAAAATTAGGTAAACTATCTATAGAATTTCCCTATTCCATCAAAAAAAATAAATACAAAGTAAAAATAAAAATAGAGCATAAAAAATAAACATTGCATGACCTGTTCTTGATGATGCCATGCTGGCTCCTTGTGAGCAATATATTTTTTTTTCTAGATAGTTTGGTAACTATTCCTTTAAGAAAAGTTTTACAATTTTTCCAGAAGTCAAAGTCAAGTTCCCCGGCCTAGAGTTTTCAGGCTCTACTCTCCCTCCACTCTTTTGTTTTCCAAAATTTGGACAATGTTTTCCCCTTTCATACCTTGTGAACTAAAGATCCCATCAACTCCTGCTTTTCCTTAAAACATGATATTAAAAGGAAAGGAAAAATTAGAATGGATGGGTTGGGAGACAAGGGGCATCTCAACCAATCTCATTCCTGTTCACTTTAACAATTCCTCACTTGAAAAAATGTAATCACTAGCATCAATCAGGGACCTCCAATTTGGGGCCTTCTCTAAGCCCATGCAATATTACGATTTCACTTAGAAAAGGGGCCAATGTAATTAGGATTAGTCACATCCCGTTCATAAAAGACTTTCTTCTTTAGTAATAACAACAAAATAATTAACATCTATATGTTGTTTTAAGAACTGCAAAATACTTTACATACATCATCTCATTTGAGACCCACAACTACCCTGTGAGGCAGATGCTACTATTACCCCCATTTTAAAGATTAGGAAACTGAGTCTGAGTAAAGTTAAGTGACTTGCCCACAGTCACATGCCTAATAAGAATCTAAGACAGGATTTCTTGACTCCAAATCTAAAACTCTATTTACCAAGCCAAATACTGGCAAAATGTCTGCCCTATGTAATAGTAGAAAGGTAGTTTCTTTCTGGGCCCCTTCTTGTTCACCTGCATCTCCCACCCATTTGTCAAATCACAGTTCAGATCCATGTCACACATAGATACAGGTTCCATGTTAACCCAATGCATGCCATTGTTCATCTGCCAGTGGTCCAACTGGTTGTCATCATAGGTCTAGAGCTGAAAGCAACCTCAGAGGTCATCTATCTAATCCAACCCCTTCATTTTACAATTGAGGAAACAAATCGAGGTCCAGAGATGTCAAATGATTTTTTTCAAGATTATACAGGTAATGAGTATTAGAGGACAGATTTGAACCTAGGCCTTTTGATTCCAGAGACAGTATTCTTTTCATTGTCCTATGCTGTAGCTCCTCATCAATAGAATGCTGATTTTTCCTCATGCTATGCCTCACATGTTTTTCAGATGCTGCAATGTACAACAACTCTGGAGCCCTTCCCACTTCCTCAGTGGCACCTACCACTTATGGTAGGTATAATTCTTGCCTAGCAGCTGTATGATTATAAGATCTGGGAAGACGATGGGTAGAAAACCAGAGGCTTATACTTATCAGGTGAAGATGTCTGATGACAAAAGGCTTTTGAGAGACCTGGAGAGAATTCAAAACCTGACTGGGAACTGTAAAGACAAAGGGTCAAATGCCCAGCTGTGGAATATATCAATTGCAGGAGAATCTGGAGAGGCTTTCACTTGCCCTGGAACTATTCTGTGAGAGACTGAAAAATCTGAGACAGAAAAGGGAGGGAAGGACCACTCCCAGGTGAGGTGATGGTGGGGCCTCAGAGGAGGAGAAAGGCTAGTAGATGGAATGGGAAATGAAGGGGCAAAAGGGCAATTCCTCAGACAATCCCACTGGCCAATCGATGGCATGCCAATATCAAGAGAAAATGTGTAACCAGCTTTCCCCTAAGAGGGCCCTTTGGATTTCTTGGCATGTTCTTGAACTAGACAAGAAGTCACCCTGGCCATGTAATGGCTTTCTACCAGAGGTGTAACAGGAGCCACAGACCTCACCCATCTTGATTCCAACACAAGGTTGCAGGGAAACATTTGGCAAGCTAATAAAGGAGAGATCCTTAATCCTAGGCCTGAGGTAGCTAACAACTTACAAGTTAATTAAACCAGGCCTTGGAGCTGAACAAAGCGCCCAGCAGGGTAAACAAGACAAGGAACAAGGAGATATTTAAGTAGCCGCTTCTGGAATCCCTGTGAGAAAGACGCTGCTTGCCTCTCCTCTCCCAGAATCAGGCCCTGAGCAGTCGCTCAGTCCGGTCTGTGCTCCATTCTCTTCGGATGAGACAATCGCATCCTTCTGCTTCTCTTCTCTCTGTAGATCCGATGCTCAAAGTGGACGACAGCAACACCCGCATCTTGATTGGCTGCCTGGTGGCCATCATCTTCATTCTTGTGGCCATCATCGTCATCATTCTCTGGAGGCAGTTTTGGCAAAAAATGCTGGAGAAGGTGAGGAAGAACATGATGGGATTTCAAACACATCTTCCTCTCCCTTTCCATGTCTACAGGTGCTTTAGGACTAAGAGACCAAAGTGCTGGCAAATGCCATGTTTACATAGCATCTTCACATACATTATCTCACTTCATCCTCTTGTGAGGGAAGCAGAATAAATAGTATTTTTTTAATAGGGAAGGAAACAAAGGTGAGATTACTTGGTCAATGTCACACAGTCAGTTCCAGGACTGAGACTGGAGCCCAGACTGTTAATCCCCAAGTCCAATACTCTTACCTCTCCACTGTCCACAAATTCATCAGAAAGATGGCCAGGTTCACAGGTGTAGAGACTTCAAGAAGCTGGTAGCTCAATGAATCATAAGAGGTCATGTTGATAGATTCATTCCCTACTCAATCATTTCCATTTCCAAAGATCTTCAGGTAAAGGGATTTTAGAACCTCTGTCAGGGAACTCAGAGATCATTTAGCCAGCCTTTTTCTCAATTTTCAGGTGAGGCAACTAAGACCCAGAAAAAGGGAGTGATCTGTCCAAAGTCACACAGCTGAAAGTGTACCTAATTTGCTCATGCTGTAGTTGATGAGGTAATAATTATAAAGTGCTTAGCACAGTTGCTGACACATTAGTACTCACTCTATAAATATTAGTTATTATTACTAGAAGTATTAGTATTATTTCCTCTTGATGTGTCCTGAGTAGAGGACTGGGTCAGCCAGCACTTTCCTGCCATAGCTCTATGGAGATCAAGGTTCTTAGAGAGCATAAGTTATATTCCCACTGTCCCATGAACCTGAAGACCAAGATGAAGCCACTGCAGTAAAATGCCAAGGACTCTAGATTTGGAGGCAGAGGACCTTGAACTTATTTAACTGTGTGACTTTAGGTAAGTCCTTAACTTTTCTGGGCTTCAGTTTCTCACCTACAAAATCAGGGGGTTAGTGATTTTAGGTCTCATCCAGTTTTAAAACTAGGTTCCTTCGAGTTGTCTTCTCAGCTTCTTCTTCCCCATGGCAAATAATTGAAATTCATTTTACCTTCTATTTATATGTAACATTCCCCCTGTTCCCTTAGCTGTTGCTCTCTAAGCCTTCGACAAGTTTGTCCCAAATATACGTCAGTTCAATCCAATGAACATTTATTAAGCACCAACTGTGTACTTCACAGTACAGTTACACAGTGACAATCAACAGTCCCATAACTGCAATGCTTAAGGATGAAAGAGGAATGCAAATATTTACAGTAAAGTTAAAATTCAATTCAACAAGCATTTTTAAAGCACCTCCTAAGTGAAAGGCAGTGTGCTAGATGTTCAATGAAAAGTTCAAATCGCATTTTCACATACATTATCTCACTTCATCCTCTTGTGAGGTAAGCAGAATGGTCCTCAGGAAGTTTCCATTCTAATAGTTAGGTTACTGTGAGAGGTATAGCAGAGAGACAGTATAGCAGAAAGGGATGAGATTGGGGAGGGAGGGCTCAGACCTTGTTTAAATTCTTGTTCATCTAAATGACAGAGCTAGGGAATGGAGGAGGGAGGAGGGAGGAAAGGATGTTTCTTCATTGCTGTCATCTAGCACTGCCCTCTTGTATGTTCTTCTCTTGCAGGCTTCCCGGAGGATGCTAGATGATGAAATGACTGTCAGTCTTTCCCTGCCTAGTGAATCCAGCATGTTCAACAACAATCATTCTTCATCACCTAGTGAGCAGGAGTCCAATTCCACTTATGACCGTATTTTCCCCCTTGGTCCTGACTACCAGGAGCCTTCCCGGCTCATACGGAAACTCCCTGAATTTGCTCCAGGAGATGAGGAGGCAGGTTAGGAATGGGGCGAGGGGGTTATCAAAGAAAGCCTTATGACTAGCGTAATTGAAACATATCAGTCTTAATCAATGGAATGACTGGCAGCCTATACAAGTTTTATATGTATATATTTGTATATATATACATACATATGCATGTTTTATATATATATACACACACACACATACACACACACACACATGTATATGTGTGTGTATATGTATGTTAAAGCCCCCAGGAAGTACAAAGTAGGTTTGAGCTCATAAATTGCCATGGGATCTGAGTCAGGTAATGCTTTTCTATGATTTAGTAAAGTCCATGAACATCTCCTGCCTAACCAAAATAATAATAACTAGTGTTTACAGACCACTTTAAGGTGTGAAAAGCTCTTTATAAATATATCATTTGATCCTCACAAAAACCCCTGAGAGATAAGCGGTATTATTATCCTCATTTTATAGATGAGCAAACTGGGACAGAAGTAAAATAACTTGCCCAAGGTCACCCAGCTAGTAAGGATCTGAGTCTGGATTTGAATTCCGCTCTTCCTGACTCCAGTCCCAGAACTCTCTCCATTGTGCTACTTAGCTGCCACAAAGGGGGTTAGCAGGTTGAACTTAGATTCTGGTAGGCCTGAAATCAAATCCTACCTTTGCTGCACTGAGGGCAGGTCTCTTGACTGTGTTGAGCCTCGGGTATTTCTTTAAGAGTACAAGTCATAAAAAGATTGCTGGGGCAGCTAGGTGGCGCAGTGGATAGAGCACCAGCTCTGAAGTCAGGAGGACCTGAGTTCAAATTTGCCCTCAGACCGAACGCTTGACACTTACTACCTGTGTGACCCTGGGCAAGTCACTTAACCCCAATTGCCTAAAAAACAAACAAACAAACAAAACCAATAAAGAGATTGCAATCACCATTGGATACAGAATAATACATCCTTGACATGTAAACATCTTTGGTGCATGCCACATTTTATGTGTATAAACACATACATATATATATATATATATTATACTGTTACGTATGCATATATATACACATGAAAGTGAATGAAAATTATTCAAGGACAGGTATTTCCCTATTGCCTACATAGGTATTTCCCCTGGGAAAAGGAAATATCACAACTCTTGATAATTGAACATCAACATTAGTGAATTTAAATGGATGGGAATGGGTGAATTTAATTCAGGTGATCACTAAATATACTACTGTGGGCAAAAATCCCTTAGAAGAAATGGAATAGCCCTCATAGTCAATAAAAGGGTAAGAAAAGCAGTACTGGGGTATAATTTCAAAAATGACCAAATGATATCTACTCAAATAAAGGCAAACCATTCAACATCACAGTAATATAAGTCTATGCTCCACTGATGCTCAAGAGGCCAAAGTTGATCAGTTCTATGAAGAGCAACAACATTTTCTAGAAATAGCACCAGAAAAAGATGTCACGTTCATCATAGCGGATTGGAATACTAAAGTAGAAAATCAAAAGATGATTGGAATAACAGGCAAGTTTGACCTTGGAGTACAAAATGAAGCAGGCAAGAGACTAATAGAAGTTTTGTCAAGGTAACTTGCTGGTCATAAAAAATACCCTTTTTCAACAACCCAAAAGACAACTCTACACATTGACATATTGACCAGATGGTCAATATAGAAATCAGATTGATTATATACTTTACAGTCAAAGGTGGAAAAGCTCTGTACAGTCAGTTAAAACAAGACTGTGGCTCAGATCATGAGCTTCTTATCGCAAAATTCAGATTTAAATTGAAGGAAATAGGGAAAACCATCAGACCATTTAAGTATGACCTAAATAACATCCTTATGAATATAAAATGGAGGTGATGAATAGATTTAAGAGATTAGGTCTGGTAAATAGAGTGCCTGAAGAACTATGGGCAGAGGTTCACGATATTGTTCAGGAGGTAGCAACAACAAAAAATCCAAAGAAAAAGAAGAGCAAGAAAGCAAAATGACTGTCTGGTAAGACTTTACAAAAACCTAAGAAAAGAAGTAAAGCAAAAGGAAAAGGAGAAAAGGAAAGATATATCCAAATAAATGCAGAATTCCATAGAATAGCAAGGACAGATAAGAAGGTTTTCTTAAATGAACAATGCAAAGAAATAGAAGAAAAGAATAGAAATGGGAAAGATAAGATATCTCTTCAAGAAAATTAGAGATATTAAGGGAATGTTTCATGAAAAAATGAGCACAATGAAAGACAAAAGAGGTAGGAATTTAAAAGAAGCAGAAGAAAATAAGATGTGGCAAGAATACACAAAAGAACTACACAAGAAAAATTTTAGCATCACCAATAACCACAGTGGTGTGGTTACCACTCTAGAGCCAGACATCCTGGAGAATGAAGTCAAGTGGGTCTTAGGAAGCATTGCTAACAATAAAGCTAGTGGAGGTGATGTAATTCCACCTGAGCTACTTAAAACCCTAAAAGGGTAATGCTGTTAAAGTGCTGCACTCAATATGCTAGCCAATTTGGAAAACACAACAGTGGCCATTAGATTGGAAAAGATCAGTTTACATACCAATCCCGAAGAAGGGCAATGCCAAGGAATGTTCAAATTCTTGAACAATTGTGCTCATTTCACATGCTTAAGATTCTATAGCTAGATTTCAGCCATAACCAAGAATTACCAGAAGAGCAGGTTGGTGTTTGAGGAGACAAAGGAACTAGACACCAAATTCCCAATATTTGCTGGATTATGGAGAAAGCAAGGAATATCCAGAAAAAAACAAAAGCAAAACAAAAACATCTACTTCTACTTCATTCACTAAAGCCTTTGACCATACGGATCACAACAAAATGTGGCAAATCCTCAAAAAGATGGGAGAATCAGATCATCTTATTTTTCTCCTGAGGAATCCTTATGTGGCCCAAGAAGCAACAGTTAGAAATGAACATGGGACAACTGATTGATTTAAGATTGGAAAAGAATTATGATGAGGCTGTTTATTGTCACCTTATTTATTTAGTTTACATGCAGAATACATCATGCAAAATGTCAGGCTGTATAAATCAAAATCTGGAATTAAGATTGCCAGGAGAAATATCAACAGTCTCAGATATGCAGATGATACCACTCCGATGGAAGAAAGTGAAGAGGAATTAAGAAGCCTCTTCATGAGGGTGAAAGAGGAAAGTATAAAGGCTGGTTTGAAGCTTAACACCAAAACAAAACAAAACAAAAACACCCTAAGATCTTGGCAACTGGTCCCATCACTTCCTGGCAAGTAGTGAGAGAAGACATAGAAGCAGTGTCAGATTTTATATTCTTGGGTTCAAAGATCACTGCAGATGGCAACTGTAGCCATACAATTAAAAGCCACTTCCTTTGAAGGAAGCCTATGGCATATTTGGACAGTATTCTTAAAAGCAGAGACAAAACCTTGCCGACAAAGGTTCATACAGTCAAAGCTGCGGTTCTTCCAGTAGCAATGTATGCCTGTGAGAGTTGGACTAGAAGGAAAGCTGAGTGCTGCAGAATCAATGATTTTGAATTGTGGTGCTGGAGAAGACTTTTGAGAGTCCCTTGGACAGCAAAGAGTTCAAATCAGTCAATACTTAAAGAAATTAATTCAGACTATTCACTGGAAGGTCCAATACTGAAGCTGAAGCTTAAATACTTTGGCCATATAATAAGAAGATGGGACTCATTGGAAAAGAACATGACATTGGGAAAGACTGAAGGCAAGAAAAGGTGATGGCAGAGGTTGAGATCGATAGATAGTGTCATGGAAGCAAAGAACATGAACTTGGATAGACTTCAAGAGATAACAGAGGATAAAAAGGCTAGTGTGCTATGGGATCACAAAAAGTCAGACAACTGAACAGCAACAAAAATTGTAAATGGGGGATAACATCAGAGAGAAGGCACTAGCAGTGGTGGGATTGGGAAAGGCTCTTGTAAATGGTGAGATGTTAGTGAAAGGAGGAGGTCAGGTATGAGGCATGAGGGTCAGCAACTGAAAAGGCAAGGAGTCAGGAGAAGGGTCCTGTCCAAAGAACAGCAAGAGGGCCAGTTTTTATGGACTGTAACATGTACAGAGGAGAGTAAAGTATAAAAAAACTGAAAAGGTAGGAAGAGATCCAATTGTAAAGGGCTTTAAAAGCCAAACAATTTCTTTTTAAAAAAAAACAACTTTGTCAGTGTGGCAGTTGTGCCTCAGAGTTGTTTTAATTTTCATTTCCCTAATTATTAATGAATTAGAGCATTTTTTTTCATATGGCTATTGATAGCTTGGATTTCTTCCTCTGAAAACTGCCCTTTCCTACTTTGACCCTTTATCAGGTAATGGACAAGTCATATTAAGAGTTATACTGTGATAAACTGTTTGAATATTTTTTGGGGGGTCTACCCTACTCTAAACTCAGATGACTCACTTTTGGAGAACTCCAAAGAACCAGACTCTCTCTCATCTTCCCAGGTTGCAGTAGTGTGGTGAAGCCAGTTCAGCCAAATGGCCCTGAAGGTGTCCCCCACTATGCAGAAGCTGACATTGTGAACCTGCAAGGTGTGACAGGAGGCAACACCTATTCAGTACCTGCAGTTACCATGGACCTACTCTCCGGTAAAGATGTGGCTGTAGAAGAATTCCCCAGGAAACTCTTAACATTCAAAGAGAAGCTAGGAGAAGGACAGTTTGGAGAGGTGAGTTGATTCATTGGATATGCCTTGGCTTTCTATTGTTCAATGGTACCTACTGACTGCATCCTCTTGAGTGCCTGGTCTTTTCAGTCTTTCCCTCTACACTGAAGAGGAAGCTTGATGATGAACTATTTTAAATGGACCTTTTATAAGAATTCTAAAGTATTGGAATCATCAGAGATCTGAGAGATCATTTCGCTCAAACCTCTCGTTTTACAGGTGAGGCAAGTAATGTCCAGAAAGATGAAGTGATCCTAATCAATCAGTTTATTAAGCTCTTGCTATGTTCCAGGCACTGTACCAGGCACTAGGGATACAACAATTGGGGAGGGCAGACTTGGGATTACAAGCCATCTTCCCTGATGCCATTGTTCTTGCCACTTTCATACTTCCTCTTTGAAGATAAGTAACTGTGCTTCAGATACACTAAGAGACAACCTAAAGTTTCAGTCTTGTTTGTATATGCAAGGAGATGGAGAGGTGGGGAAAGGGGGATGCTCAGAGATGTGACCATCCATTATGAAATGTCCAGAAACACCCTGCTGGATGAGAGCTATGTCCTTTTTCTCCCTCTAATGGGAGTTGTATATAAAACAGTGAAAAACAGACATATTTGTTCTCTCATTCTAGCACCCTAGCAAGTCAACCACCCAAGAGAAGAGGTAATCATTTGTGAAGTGATGCCACATTGATATGCATAGAAGGACACATTAGCAACAGGATCTTTCTGAGAACATGAGATGTAGTGATTTCAGTTGACAGCAGTTCCTCAGGAGACTTGCAGTTGACATGCAGTGCTTCAATCTAAAAGAAATTATTTTGGAACTTTGTACTTGGCTATTTCAATGGATCTGTGATCTCATTGACTTGGATACTTCTCCCAACAAAGCACAGTATAAACCACCCATGCCCTCTCATCCTGTGGGACTCTCGTGTTTGGCTTCTCACAAATCTTCCTCCAAGGCTCCACCCAACATGTCAGGGGTCTTCCTTTAGATCTTGTGACATTGGGTGGATACCAATTAAGCACATCAGCTATTCATCAGTTATCCCTTAGTCTTTGCAGAGGACTGACCTTTCTTCTTCTCTGGTCATACATATTATCTTACATAACTCTTTTTTGAATGATGTTGCAATAAACTTGTGCCTCTCCACTGCCCTTTGGGTGATCCTCAACTTGAATTCTTTGGAGACTGTTATTTCATGTTTCTCAGCCCTGCATCACCACTAGAGGAATGTTGCTATTACTAACACAGGCTTTTATTTTTAGGAAGAAGTTTATAGTCATGACAAGCACTGTACAGTTTCTCAAAGGCAACCTAGCCCATTCTGCTGCTTCTATTCAATTCTAGGACTAGTTAATTTCCCATGCCTATTCCTTGGCAGAGGTGCAGGTGGTTAGTGGAGGTTAGTGAAGAACGCACAGAACTTCCTTTTGGATTTCCATTCCACTTTGACCTTCAAAATATTGTTATTGGAGAGAAAACAATAGAGCCTCACCATAGCATCATCTCTAGGTTCTATTCTATAGGGTTGCCTTTTACTATGATCTTCATAACAATGTCTCCTTGGTATTCCAGTAACTAAGTTCCCTTAGATGGGGCCCCAAGATATACCTACATTATATCAAATTCCTCTTTATAGGGAGCTGTAGTCATAATTTTATCATAGTTACATAGTTAATAGTTACATGGTTAATCATAGTTACATAATCATAAAATCATAAAACTGGAAGGAACCTCAGAGGTTATCAGTTGAAACCATTCTACACAAAACATAAATGCCCTTTATAACATCTGAAAAAAGTGACAAAAGTGAAAAGACGTCTCCAATGGACTTCAAGGGCAGTCCATTCCACTTTCTGAGTCAAAGAGCAGTCGTTGGTAGGTGTAGATTAGCCTGGAGTGAGATCTTTGATGGGTCCTTTTTACCACTGAAAAGGAAAGAAGGGAGGAGGAAGGAAGAAAAGAAGGAGGAAGGAAGATGGGAAGGAAGGAAGGAAAGAGGAAGGAAGAAGGAATGAAAGAAAGAGGAAGGAAAGAAACATTTAGTAAAAACCTTCTTTCTGCCAGGCATTGCGCTGAGTGCTTTACAAATATCTCATTTAATCCTCACAATAACTCTAAAATTTAGATGCTATTATTTATTTCCACTTTACAGTTGAAGAAACTGAGGCAGACAGAGGTTAAAGTGACAGGGTCACACAGCTAGTGTCTGAGGCTAGATTCGATCTTAAATCTTCCTGGCTACAGGTCCAAAGTTCTCTGTACCACATAACCTAGCTGCCTGACAAAGACATGGAGGAAGACATAGATGATATGCTTACCAAATTTGCAGGTGAGATCATGCTAGGAGTGATGGTTAATACATTAGTTTACTGAATGTGGATACAAGAAGATCTTCAGAGGCTAGAAAAATAGGCAGGACAGAAGATGAATATAATAGGGATAAATGTTCTTTGTTCAGTCATTTTAGTCATGTCTGACTCTTTGTGACCCCACTTGGGGTTTTGTTGGCAAAGATATTAGAGTAGTTTGCTCCTTCCTCCTCCAGCTCATTTTACAGATAAGGAAAGTGAGGCAAACGGGGTTATGCCACTTGTCTAGGGTTACATAGCTAGGAAGTGTCTGAGGCCAGATTTGAATTCAGGAAGATGAGTCTTCCTGACTCCAGGCCTGGAGGTCTATCTATTGCGCCACTTACCCTGCCCCTACTCTACACTGGTTCAAAAAACCAACTTTACAAGTACAGGAAATAGAAGATGTTAAAAAAAAAGGCCTAGGCTTTTGTTCTATGTCCAGCGCAATATGGAATGATATTGTATGATATAAGATGTATGATAATAGATATTGTGATATGGTCACCAAAGAAGGCTAATGATAATCTCCGCTTCCTGGACTGAAGCATGGTGTTCAGAATAAGGGAGGTGATAGTCCTTTTGTACTCTTCCTTAACTGGCCCATTTCTTGAGTATTGGGCTCAGTTCTGAGTACCACATTTTGAGGAACAGCATTAATAAGTTGGATCAGGTCCAGAACAGGATGGCTAGGATGGGGGAGAAGACTGCAGAAAGTGACATAAGAAGATAATTTGAAGGAACTGAGGATACAGCCTGGCCAAGAAAATTTAATGGAGTACATGATCGCTGTCTTCACATATTGGAAGGACTATCACATTCATTCTGCTTAACTCTAAAGGGAAGAACTAAAAGCAATGAATGATATAACTGAAAGCTCCTGGGATTTGGGCTCAGGGAACCTAGGTTTGAAACCCAACTGTGCTTTTTTTGACTTAGGTGACTTTGAGCAAGTCATTTAACTTCTTGGGACCTCAATTTCCTCATTTGTGAAATGAGAAACTTTATGTTCTCTTCCAATTTGAAGTCCTCTGATTCTACAAAATGGCAGAGATTCAAATTTAGGTGTGCCATTAGGGACAAGTTCAGTGCAATGTGACAATAAAAAAGTATCACACAAACCTCACTGGCTTTCTTCAGGTGGAAGCTCAGTCACCACTTGTCTGCGATACTGCAGAGGGAGGGGCTTCAGCACAGGTTGGGCTACACGACAGATGAGCTCTGTCCAACTGGAAGATCCTGTCACTGGGAGAACTCTTCTTTACAACAAACCTAAATCTGCCTCTCTGCAACTTCTACCCACTGATCCTAGCTTCCACAGTGGGGGTCAAGCAGAAGAAGTTTAATTCTTGACAGCAAGGACATAATGATATGTTATTGTTATGAAGAGGGGAATATTTCATGTCAGGCCAGTGCTCGATCATGATTTTAATTGGTCACTTGTATCATAGTTTGGAATGTGTATTCATGATAATTCACATTTAGACAGTCCTTTCAGGTTGACAAAACACTTCTTACAACAATTCCATGAGGTAGGCAGTTCAAGTATTACTGGACTCATGCTGCAAATCAGGAAACTGAGTCAGAAAGGCTGTGACCTATCCAAGGTAAATGGAAGAGCTGAGGCTCCTGACTCCCTAGTCCAGGGCTCACCCCACTATAGTCAATCAACAAGCACTGATTACGTGCTTACTATATACATGTAGCACTGTGCTAGATGCTGGAAATGCCAGGCCCAAACAAAACTATTCCTGCCCTCAAGGAGCTGGCATTCTAATAAAGGAGTGAAAATGGATGTATATAGGTATATATAAAACACTTACAAGGTAATCTTGGAGGGGCAGAGAACTGACAGCTGGTGTGGGGAAGGGAAGCAGGGAAGGCCCTGAGCTGAGTCTTGAAGGAAACTGTAGATTCCAAGAGGCAGAAGTTCTGAAAGAGAGCATTACAGTTGCATGGGACAGCCAATACAAAGGACAGGATATAGGAAATAACATGTTCTGTGTCAGCAACAAAGAAAGGACAGTTTGGTTGGATTATAGAGTGTGTAGAGAGAGATAATATATAATAATGCAGGAAAGACTGAAGGTGGGGCAAAGTTGGGTTATAAAGAGCTTTTAAATGCCCAACCATGTAGTTTATATTTGATCCAAGAAGTAACAAGGAACCACTAAAGTTTTTTGAGTGGGGGGGAGGATAACATGGTCAGATCTGTGTCTTAGGAAAATCACTTTGTTGGCTACATAGAGGACGGAGCTAAGTAGGGGGAGACTTAAGGCAAGGAGACCAATTAGAAGGCCATCTCAGTAGGTGAAGTGATAGATCATGAGAGTCATCCTATCACCCCTGTTCTATCCTTTCAGTTCTTTCATCTGCTGAAGGGACAGGTGAAGCGTCCAGTTGGTTCCCAATTCCTCTGTCCCAGTTAGCTTATCTCTAGGAAAAGCCCACCAAGAACTCTGAAAGAGCAAATGATGATGCTGAGACTCAATGAATTTTGTCCAGGTTCATCTCTGTGAAGTGGAGGGCATGGAAAAATTCATGGACAAAGATTTTGCCTTAGATGTCAACACCAACCAGCCTGCCTTGGTGGCTGTGAAAATGCTCCGAGCAGATGCCAACAAGAATGCCAGGTCTGTCACCCACGTTTTGAATCTTCCTTTATATGTATTTGCTTCCTTGAACCAGGAATATTTCTTAGAAACTCTCAAGGAATTTATAAGAGGACAAGGTTTAGGATCTGCCCAATGCCTGGGAATGATGATGGCAAACAGACAGTCTTCATCTTCTCTCTTTTCTTCCCACATTTATCTTCTTACGCTGCATGCAGGTCACCTTCTTAATCTGTATTCTGACTAGTTCCATATTTACTGGCATTTCTATCAACTTAGAGATGAGCTTCTTCTGTCATTTTTCTGTCACCCCCTATATCACCTGGGGCTCAGGATCTCCACTCTAAAGTCACATGGGCCAGTTTCAATCTTGGGAGGTTCTTTCTCTTACTATTTCTCATAGCTCATATCCCCACCTAGATCTTCTTGGGAAACATCAGAAATCTGGCTCATTTCTTTTTAAGGGTCACGCTTCTTGTTCCCCTACAAAAAAGTGAAGCTTAAAAAAAATGAACATTAAAACCAATAAGTTTATTAAAGAACAATAATAACAACAAAAATAACAGAAAAACATTTTCTTCAGCCCTGCCCTATACTCTAGTCCCAGATCTGAAACTCACAATTTAGATAATGACTCCACTTAGGGCCAAGGGATCTGAAGGCTTGTTGAAGGGGTGGAATCTCCTGGAAATCCATTTGCTTGAAAGGAGTCCGCTTACTCCTCCCACACTTGGCACTGTTGCCATTATCGCTTGTCAGTGGTATCTTGCCTGCAATGTTCTCAGTTTTGTGTCACCCGAATGAGTGGCTGGTAGCTTGGTCACTGCTCCACGTTGGTTCCAGTTTTCTCAAGCTGGATGGCAGCACGGCCACTATCTCTTATAAATACCTGCTTATCATTCTATCCAGCATGTTCCCTACTCCAGTCTAACATCCACTCCCAAGGCTGGTTAGCACCATGGTCCTCAGGGTTACTGACCCCTGGATCCTTGTCATCAATGGGAATCTCCCTCACCTGAGGGAGAAATCTAATGTGCTCTTGCCTTGCAGGTATGTAGCAGGCCTGTTCATGTTCCTTTCCCTGTCCCAACACAAGGGGAGGATGAAGTGAACAGCTTGTCCAGGCAGAGAGAAGGTCAATCACAACCCCAATATATACTAACCTCCTTTGAGCAAACACACTTTGCAATCAGGCCCACGTGTTCTTGCCAAATCTCCTGTTTCCCTTCCCTTTCATCTTATTAATTCCTTTCCTTCAGTGTTTTCTGTTTTCTCTCTTCCTTTTTTTCTTCTATAATAACTGACATTTATGTAACTCATTAAGGTTTATGAAGCACTTTACATACACTCTCTCATTTGACCCTCACAACAATCTTGTGAGATAAGTATTTCTGATATTATTATCACCAGATTTATAGATAAAAAAAAGGTGGCTGAGAGAGTTTAAAGGATTTGTCTATGATTAGAGACCCAGTAAGTATCAAAATCAGGATTTGAGCACTGGTGTGGTGTACTTTTTAACACTACATTATACTCTCTTTGCTTTTCTTTCTATGTCCACTGAACCTGAGAATATCTAGCTGTTTTTACTTGGAAACTTATTCCAAAAAGTCCCCTAGTAATTCCTGAAGTCACCCAAGAGTTTAAGATTAATGTAGATTATGGTTCCTGCCCTGACAGCCTTATCTAACAGCCTTTCCATTACAGCACTGATGACTTATTCCACTATTGAGACTTACTTTCTCTGCAAGAGCTACACATTGGGGTAAAACTGCCTTGTATTGTTTTGATTTATGTCATGAGCATTCCACATACCTTCGAGAGAAAGTTTATTGTCCTTGTCTCAAATAACATGACAAGCCCCCAGAATCATGACAGTGTGTCCCTGGGGAGTCCTATGGTTGGCACACTTAGAGTTTGGGAAGGAGAGAGGTGATAAAGTTATGAGCATTTTCAGAGGGTTACCTATGAAACTTTATTAGGTTGTTCCAAATCACACTGAAGGACTATGTTCTTCATCCTTGAACATGTATTTATGATGTTGGCACATAATTTTTTAAAGGAGAAGTGACAAGGCAATACAAAGGATATGTTAAACACCTTGCCAGTGTTTAAATTTGGGGGACTGAGATATGATTCACATTCATTTGTGTGTCCTATCCTACTCAGCAAGGTTGTATGTCAGAGTCCCTGAGTCTCCTGGAGGTATCTGAGCTTTTAAGGGTTTGAGGTGAGCTAAGAGAACAGTGTCAGGATCTAGGTAGATATGGGAAGGTCGCAGTCATCTCAGGATAACTCAGTCTGGGGGAAAACAGGGAAATTCCAACATAGCCACCTTTTTATAGATGATTCTTATATGGCACATACAGGTCTTAGGACATGCAATTCTGACCATTTCCTGTAGGGTCCAAGATAAGCTGTTGGGGCCAGCTGCTGGCTGTGAAATTGTCAGTAGCGACCCAGGTTTTTCATCATTCAATGGACTTGTGTGGCTAGAACTTGCAACAAATCATAAAATGTCCAAGCCGGAGGTTTTCTAGAGGTCCCCAGCTAGTACAGATCTACTTCTTTATTCTGAGTGCAGTTTTTTGAAGAAGCAGTATGTTACTAAAGTGTGCCTTTAAATAGGGTTGCTTTAAAACTGGCTATCCTGTTAATTATCTGGATGGTTGGATTACAGCTGTTAAGAACACTTGGTATATGAATATATAGCTTTATAAGATATATAAATCAGGAAGAAACTATTCACTTTGTAAAAAGATGTTTCACTTTATCAAATAATTCAGACTAGAGCTCCTTTAAATAACAATCTCCCATAATGCACTTAGAATAGGATTCTGTTTACAAATCTAGTTTGCCAACATCATTATAGGAGCATATAGTTCTATGAGAACATATATTGTAGAGCAAATGGCATAGACAAACACCAGGCATTTGATCCCTATTCTGCAAAGCAGAGCAAGATCAAGTAGAGTTATGGGTAAGTAGAGGTAGGAGGAGTGTTTGCAGGGGAAGCTTTTCCCTTCCAACCCCAGTGACCTCTGTGTTGGTCTGGGTCTGGTATGTATATATTTGTCTATGTCTTTCCAAAGGAATGATTTTCTCAAGGAGATAAAGATTATGTCTCGACTAAAGGACCCAAACATCATCCGGCTGTTAGCAGTGTGCATTGCAGAAGACCCCCTATGTATGATCACTGAATACATGGAGAATGGGGACCTCAATCAATTTCTTTCCCGACACGAACCCCAGAGCCCTCCCTCCAGTAATGCACCTACTGTCAGGTAACTGAGTCAGGCTACTTTGTGTTAGATTTATCTGATACCACATTTGAGGAAGGATGCTGACAAGCTTGAGAGCACCTAGAGGAGAAGTAGGAAGATGCTAAGAGGGACTGGAGACCTTGATATCACCTTCAACTCATCAGTTGAAGATACTGGGGATACTTATCCCAAAGAAGAGAAACTTTAAGGAGGAAATGATTGTTATCCTAAACCATTTAAAAAGCTGTCATTGGTAGAAGAATTAGACAAGATCTTGTTGGCCCCAGCAGGCAGACTAGAGGCAGTGGATAAAAATGACAAAGAAGCTATTTTAGGCTTGTTATAAGGACAAAATTCCCGACAATTAGAACTACCCAAAAGGTAGAGTGACTGACCTCCAAGGGTGATGTTTCCTCTTTCTCTCTACTAACCAAACACTGTGCTAGACCCTGGAGGCACAAATACAAAGAGAGAAACAGTCTCTACTCTCAGGGAGTTTTCTATTCTTAAAGAGCTATATAAATATGAAATTTTATTATTTTCTTCATTATTATTATTAAGTCTACCTTTCAGTTTCCCTCTTTTTATAATGAAAAAAAAACCCTACCTCTCAAACAGAATACCAATGTTTTAATCTTGTTTGAGGATTTGTTCCTGAACATTACATCATCAAAAAAGAATGTTAATCTATTAACTCAATGTTTTTTATTGAACATATGGTGTTCTTTATGCCCAGAACTTTGCTAAGTGTTGTCAGTGACACAAAATAGCAGAATCTCAGAGTGAAAACGGATGTAAGCATCAATCTAGTCTAAAAATGTACCAGTGAGAATTCCATCTACAACATACCTGCAAGATATTGTCCCAACCCTCAAGAAACTTATTGCATAGTTAGAGAGACTCATCTCTCCAGACCCACGACTCAATTAAAGCCAACAAATCTATGTATAAGGTACTGTGCTAGGCAGTGGGAGAGGGGTGGTGGTGGGGGTTGAGACAAAAATAAGCCATGTCTACTGTAAAGCGGCTTATATGCTACTTGGGTCAGGAGGTGTAGGAGAAGAATGCAGTACAAACAAAAATAATTAACTACAAAGTACATGCAAAGTCATTTGAAGAGGGAGACATTACTAATAATTGAGATTAGCAACGCCATCAAGTATGAAGGGATAGCTGTACTACTTTGAAGGAAGCCAGATTCCACAACACAATGCACAAGTGAAGAGGGATGACATTCCAGATGTAGGGAACTAACAAAAACCCCCAAGGGAATGGGAGAGGGAATATCAGATGGGACAGATAACAGGTAGGCCAATCTCAGGAACAGGGGCTTTGAAGCTATAAAATCTTAGGTAACCCTGGAAAAGAACGTGAAGGCCAGACTGTGGAGGCCTTTAAATGCCAAGCTAGGGGTATGTATTTTATCCTAGAGACAACAGAAAACCACTGAAGATTTTAAAGTCGGGGTATGGGGCATGGCTCATGGTCAGACCTTTGTTTTAGGAATAAAGATTTGGCAGTTATGTGGAGGTTGGATTGGAAGCAGGGAGGTCAATTAGGCATTTACTGCAATGGTCCAGGGAAGGTGACAAGGTTTACCTGTGTTCATCTCCACTCACTGGGGCCCTGGTTACTGCTGATTGCTTCTTCTCATGTTTCCTCAGTTACATAAACCTGAAGTTCATGGCCACGCAGATAGCATCGGGCATGAAGTATCTGTCCTCTCTAAACTTTGTCCACCGGGACCTGGCCACCCGAAACTGCTTAGTGGGTAAGAACTACACCATCAAGATCGCAGACTTTGGGATGAGCAGGAACCTATACAGCGGAGACTACTACAGGATCCAGGGTCGGGCAGTGCTTCCTATCCGCTGGATGTCTTGGGAGAGCATCTTACTGGTGAGTCTCCATGTTTCCTAATAGCTCAATCAAGAAGATTCATCAAAGATTTATTACTGCTCTAGGTCCATAAGGTTGTATGGGTAGAATTGCATCGGAGATATTAGGAGAGCCGGGTATCTGCCTTTGCCTAAACAATTTTAATATTTGAATTCCAGTCTGTCCTATTCATTTTATTTACCCTACTACCATGTAATCTTATGTAATACCACTATGATCACATCTCTCCTCTAATCAAAAATCTTCAGTAGCTTCCCAGTGCCAATGAATAAAACGATAATCTCCTATGCTTGCTATGTAAGGTCCTTTAGAATATTCTTGGAAGCTAGCTTTCCAACCTTCTCTCCTACCACTACTTTCTGTGCAGCAGGGCGCTAGAGCCAGCTCATTGGTCTATTTACAGTGTAAGCATTGATACCTTGGGAATCAGCAACTGTTACAAATCAAAGCTTGATTTATTATTTTGTTAATTGTCTAGACTTAAGAAAGTGATGGAGAAAGTGTTAATGATTTTTGATTAAACTTAAAAACGTGTTATACCTACACTTTTTTTTTTCAGAGAGTTGGTTATTAAAAATTTACCAGCACACCCCTGCCTTCAGGTACTCTATGTTCTACTCTGTGCTTCCTTCTTGGCCCGCTCTCTCTCCTGGCTCCATACTTTTGTTCCTGCTCTTCTCTGTGCCTAGAATGGACTCCATCCCCCCTCTTCATGTGTTGAAATCCCTCCCTTCTTTCAAGACCCAACTCGAATCCTAACTCTCATCAAACCTTCTATGATGCCTGCCATGTGCTGCCCTAGATGGGTGAGAGTGATTTACCCCTCCTCAAACTTCTCCTAGACGTGTGTCTGGGCCTCTCCTTATCATCTCATTCTCCCTTTCTCTTTGTTTGTATGCTTATCCTTCTCTTCCTTCTCCTCTCCTGTCCATTAAACTGTAAGGTGCTTGAGATTGGGATCTATTTCACATCTATCTCTGTATCCTCAGTGCTTAGCACAGGGTCTTACACAACGGATCTATGATTTCTTCCGTACAGAGAACTCTCAGTAAGAAAACTCCCTCTACCAATGCAGATCAGCATGTGTTCTTCAACTACAGTCTTATAGAGTTATCTGCGACACAAAGAGGTTAAGTGAATTGTCCAGGGTCATATAGTCAGTAGGTGTCAGAAGCCAAATTTGAACCCGGGTCTTACTGATTGTGAGACCAGCTCTCTACCTCTCTACATGCTGTCTCTCAGCCTGCATATGGTGGGTACTTAATAAATGCTTGTTGCTGAATTAAATGTTTGCTTTATTTGGAGATGACTGACTTTCTATGATATATTTCTAACTTTTTGTGCTAGTATTTCAAAGATCTGTAGCTTCATGCACCTACCTGGTCTCTCCACCAATACCTGACACCTCTCTTCCCCTAGATGTTTGGGGGGATAGCTATGGCTAAAAGGAATTAATTTACATTGTAGCCAACCCTCTGGGGATTAGCACCTTTGAATTTAATCAGATTGATTCTTAGAGAAGAAGGAAGGAAAAAAAGAATGAAGGCAGGACGAAAGCATTTATCAAACACCTACTATGTGCCAGGCATTGTACTATACACTTTGCAAATGCTATTTAAAAAAAAAATTCCCCCAATTACATGTAAAATTAAAAAAAAATTAAAAAAAATTTTGAGTTCCAAATTCTATCACTCCCTCCCTGAGATAGACAGCAATCTGATATGTGTACATGTGTAAGCATGTAAAACATTTACATGAGAGACAGAGACAGAGAGAGAGAGAGAGAGAGAGAGAGAGAGGGAGAGAGGGAGGGGTGGAGAGAGAGAGAGAGAGAGACTGCTTCAGTTTGTATTCAGACAATATCAGTTCTTTCTCTGGAGGGTAGATAACATTTTTCATCATGAGTCCTTTGGGATTGTCTTGAACCATTATATTGCTGAGAATAGCTAAGTCATTCACAATTCTTCATCATACAATATTGTTGTTACTGTATAATGTTCTCCTGGTTCTGCTCACTTCACTTTGTATTAGTTCATGTATGTCTTTCCAGGTTTTTCTGAAATCATCCTGCTTGTCATTTCTTATATCACAATAATATTATTCCATTACAATTATGTACTACAACTTGTTTAGCCATTCCCCAATTAATGTGCATCCCCTCGATTGCCAATTCTTAGTTACCACAAAAAGTGCAAATGTTATTTTATTTAATCCTCAATTGTCTTTGGACATAGGTGCTTTTATTATCCTCACTTTACAATTGAGGAAACTGAGGCAGATTGAGGTTAAATGACTTGCCCAGGGTTACAAGCTAGTAAGTATCTGAAGCTGAATTTGAACTCATGTCTTCCTTACTCCAGGCTCAGCACTTTCTCCATTGTACCATCTAGCTGCCTCTACATACTGTTTGTGGGCACATGGGTTAATAATAATTATTTTAAATTTTATCATCAATAATTAACCAATATTATTATGCAGTCATTTGCATCTTTCTCAACCATAGTTAATCACCCTTGGTAAATGCCATTCATCACCATCATAGTAATGAAGCACCACACCCTCCCTAAATAAGGAGAATCCTAGGTTCTTTTCTTGACATGGTAACTTTCTCTGTGATTTTGAGCAAATCATTTGGGCTTTGGATTCTCTAAATGACAGGATTATATTTTTTATCACTGAAAATGAGTAGAGATCATGTAGGGCTGCTCATTTTTCAGATGAGGAAACTAAGGCCCAGAGAAATCAGGAGTCATCAAGTCAAGTGCTCTTTCTACTACATCTTTCTGACTTTTTAAAAAACAAAAATTGTGATGTCTATTAACAAATGTGTCATGCTTAATCCCAATGCAACAAGCATTTCTTAGGTTCCTACTATCTGTTAGGTGTTCTGCTAGGCATTGAGGGTATAAGGACAAAACAAAACACCATCCTTTCTTTCAAGGAATTTATATTCCCCTGGGGGCAGGAATAAATAAAACATGTAAACAGAGATGGGCACATATGATAATGTGAAGGTGGACACAGTATTCACAATTAGGAGGATCAGGAGAGGTTGGCCATGAGCTGAGCCATGAAGGAAGCTTGGGACTTTGAGAGGAAAGGTATGGGGGCAGTAGATAGAACTCTGTCTGAATCTAGGGAATAACGAATAGGTCTGTTGGGCTGGAAGGCAGAGTCAATGAAAGGGGGCAACAGTGTAATAAGTCTGTTTATTTTGTTAAAGATTTCCCAGTTGCATTTTAATACCATTCCAGCTCACTCGGAGTTTTGCTGGCCACCTGCACAGACAAACAGTGAGTTAACACCTCTGATTTACAGGATCCCTCCATTAATGCCAGACACCTTTGCCCCTAGATGGTTTGGGGAACAACAGGGAAAAGAAGGCTGGTGGCAACTTGTGAAGGGCTTTCAATGTCAAACTGAGGAATTAGTATTTTATCCTAAAGAAAACAGGGAGTAATATGGTCAGATCTTTGCTTTAGGAATATAATTTTAACAGCTAGAGGGATTGGAGTGCTGAGATAATGGAAGCAGGGAGACCAGTTAGAAGCCTCTTACAATACACAGTACAGGTGAGAGGTCATGAGAACTTGAATTAGGATAACATATTAAATGAGTGGAGAAAAGGGAACGTAAGTGAGAAATATCATGGAAGCATGTGTTTGTGTGTGTGTGTGTGTATATATATGTAATATCTTTGTAACTGATTGGATATGGGTAGGGTGTAAAAGGAATGGAGAGTTGAGGATGACTCTTAAGGTTTTGAGCGTGGCATGGTTGTGACCACAACAGAAATGTGGAGGTTTGGAGAAGGGATGGGTCTAAAGAAGTAAGATAATGAGTTACATTTTGGCCAGGTTGAGTTTAAGACACTTATAAAACAACCAGTTGGAGATGTACAAAGGGCCATCATACAAGGAAGAAATTAAGGCTAGACATAGAGATGATGGTATCATCATGAAAATATGGGAATTGAATCCATCAGAGTTGATGAAATCATCAAAAATGGTGTAGAGAAAGAGAAGGGGGCTCAGTATAGAGCTTTGAAGAATATAATATCTATGTTTAGGGGAAAAGCATGTAGTAATTAAAGCACAATTGGGGTTTGAAGGGTGATTGGGGTTTTCTAATACTGAGATGATGAACATCTTGGTCTAATTTTGTTTTTTTGGACAATCTTTTAGCACTAAATCAGAGAATCATGTATCTCTGAGGGCTGTTTAATCCTTATAGGGTTTGTCCCCCCAAAAGGGGTAAGTCTCCTAGGTATAGTCTAAGCTGAACGGTAAGGGTGGGAAAACCACTTTTAAATATTACAAAGCTCTGTGAGCATTTCTAATATGAGAAATGCAGGGTCAGAAAATCATTTTTGAATGTTACAAAGCTCTGTGAGAACATATCGAACATGAGAAATTCATACTTTGAAAATCTCACACAACTCTGACTTTGATGATGGTTGTTGCCTCTAGAGGCAAGGGAGGGCATAAAGTCCATAGCATTACTCCCTTTGGGGTGTATGTGGGGGAGGGTTATCCTGAGTTTCTCTCTTTTTCCCTTCTTTTTTCCACAACTGACTAGGGCAAGTTCACCACAGCAAGTGATGTGTGGGCCTTTGGGGTGACGCTGTGGGAGACCTTCACTTTTTGCCAGGAGCAGCCATATTCCCAGCTGTCAGATGAACAAGTCATCGAGAATACTGGAGAATTCTTCCGAGACCAAGGGCGGCAGGTAGGAAAAACTAAGGAAGGATGGATATGGATATGTGAGTTTCTGGAAAAGGGATTAGAAGAAAGCACTGACTGAAAACACACACACACACACGTATATATGTGTATATGTATATATATGTGTGTGTATATGCATATGTATACAAATAATATTTTAATGTAGAAAGAGATCATAGAGGATCATGGATTTAGAGTTGAAAAGGGGCCTACGATGCCATTTTAATCCAACTCCCACATTTTACAGGTGGGAAAAATGAGGCCCAGAGATATTAAGTAACTTGCTTAGGGCCACACCGGTAATAAGTAATAGACTGAAATTTACTCCAAATCCAGGGCTAGTTCCAAAGCCCCTTCCTTCAATGAGATAAGTACTATTAGAATGGCAAAGTATTATAAGAATATGGAGGTGAAGACTACTTCTGGCTAGAGGGAGGGATCAAGAAAGATGGCATATAAACTGAGTCTTGAAGGCTGGCTGGTACTTTGACTGGTACAGAAGAAGGAAGACATTACAGGCAGAGGGAACAGTGTAAGAAGGGTTATGAAGGCAGGAAAATACCAGGTATGTTTGGGAATAGGGAATAATGCAACTTGGTCAAATCTTAGTGTAGGAGAAGGGGAGTAGACCAGTTAAGGCTAGAAAGGTAGCTGTGTTAGGGAGTTTGAGATCTGCTCAGCAAGTAATGGAAAGTCATTGATATTTTCTGAGTAGGGAAATGACAAATTCTGAGTAACCCAGGTAATAACCTCTATACTCTGGTTATTCAATCATGTCTGATGCTTTGTGAACTCATGGACCATACTGTCCATGAGGTTTTCTTGACAAAGATGCTGGAGTGGTTTGCCATTTAAGGAAAACAGAGGTTAAATGACTTGGCCAGGGTCACACAGCTATTAAGTATCTGAGAATGGATTTTAACTCAAGTCTTCCTAACTCTAGGCTCAGTGCTCTATCTACTAAGTCACCTAGCTGCCTATTACTCTTATGGTCTCAGTGGCTTTGCCAGCCCCTGACTATGCTGGGGCAACACCTATTTAGATATCAAATTGGGAGAACAGGGAGGAAAAAGTTTAAACACAAATCCAACTACCCCTTCCCCTCCTTGGGCTTTGTTTTTGTTTTTGTTTTCTTTTTGACTTTCTTTGTAATTTCCTCATTTTGGTTATTTATTTGTCTGTTTCCAAAGACATACCTCCCACAGCCTGCAATTTGCCCTGATCCTGTTTATAAGCTGATGCTTAGCTGCTGGAGAAGAGACACCAAACACCGCCCCTCATTCCAAGAAATCCACCTCCTGCTTCTCCAACAAGGAAATGGAGAGGAGTGATGCTGTCAACTCTGGAGCACCTCTGATGGTCCCCTAGTCCTCCCCTTAAAACCCACCACTTCTCCAAATCTAAGCCACTTCACTTGGACTTCTAATGGACCCTGGGAGGCGGAGGCTTCTTTGTTTTTCTCTTTTTTTTTTTTACATTAAAGAGCCAAAAAAGAAAAAAAAAGTCTAGATCAGAGGGAATCAAAAAAAAAAAAAGAAAGAAAGAAATCTCACCTGATATACCAGAGTTGGATGACAAAGGCTAGAAAATTCAAATAATTTATAAATGTTAAATATGCTTGTTTATAAATGTGCAAATTCTGTGATTTTTTTTTTCTGAGTTCCCATTTCTAGGAAGTGATTACCAAATCAGAACACAGAAAGACTTGAAGGATACTGATATTGTGGGGAATGCCATGGGGATGTGTTTAAGTCAAAAGGTTCAGCAAAGTACTACATCATGGGCTGTTCATGGCCTTTGAGTTCTAATGCGGCCTCTCCCATTAACTCATAAGCTAGCTTGCCAGTAACTGAATATTTCTCCACAATATCCTCATACGTAGGAATGGTTCTGATAGCATACTTGTAAACGCACACATACACACACACACAACAATGATGACAACAACAATTACAAACCCAGGTTCGCATATGTGCCATTGGAGGGTATCAGCATGGTAGGGAGAATCCAAGGGGAATCAGGCAGGTAAGAGGATTTGCCATAGGTAAAGTATCCTTTGCAAAAGAGGGAGATTAGGCAGCTGTAGGTAAAGAGAGCATGTGAATGTAATCTGTACAAGTGTGGAATATTCATTTGTAATTCCAACAAAAGAACCTGGATATTATTTTTCTCTACAGTTTATTCAAGTATATTCAGATGTGGATTTCCCCAAGGAAGGATTTGATTTTAAAACAGATTCAAGGCATATCTGAGACTAGTAGACCATTGTTGAAGCTGCTGTTGTAGAATCTTACCTATGGAAGGTGCCTTAGAAATCTTTGGTCCAAGCTCAAGGGAGCTATCAGAGGTGGGATCAGTCACCATCTCCAGGGACAATTGTGGTTCTTTACCCATGGATTTACTCATTTGCTGTGGATTCCTCTTATGCACAGGGCTTCCTTTAGACTTCTGGAAAGTGGCAATTATGTAGAGCAGCATATGGAAAACATGGCAGAAGACGACCTCTGCAACTATTCTCTTGTATACAGTCTCTCTGAATCATTGTTGGGCTTGACACAGCCAGCATGAAGTGGAGCATGAGGCTGGGGTGTCCTTTGGACACTTGGGTATTACTTAAATAGTCCCAACTTTGGTTTACGATGATCTCAGAGGTGACTCTGAATGTTCACAAACTCCAAGTTCTCCAGTCCAGCAGAAAAACTAACTTTCAACTCAGAATATAGGATTTCAACTCAGAATAAAGAATTTCAGCAGAGGTATGACTAGGAAGTGACAGTAGGGGCTTTCCGGGTGATGAAATTTGGAAGGAACCAGCATTTCCCTAGCATATATTTCCTCCCTACTCCATTTCCAGGGGTCAGATTGCAGGTGAGATCCTACCCATCCATGCACTCTCAAAAACCTGCTTTATCCTAGGCTGTGTTTTCTCTCTCTATGAGCCATACATTTGCTCCCAGGCCAACTCCTCCCATCTCTCCATTAGCAGCCAGTCCTTTAGCCACACAAAAACTTCCGGGTTTCCTGGAGGTATATTTCTTACTCCCTGCAGCTATACATGAATGCCTTTTTTGCCCTAGGCCCCCCAAATTCTTAATTACTGCTCTGGATTTCTGGACATATTTTCCAAGCCAAGATGCCAAGCCACTGTCTCACAGGCCTCTCTACCCACTTCAAACAACCCTTCAAGGTTCTGATTGTTTTCCCCAAATCAGTTTTCAGAATCACTACTGGGGCAAAAGTACAGACTGAAACTTAGATTCTCTGCTTTAATCCACTGCCCCTACTGCCTACAAGCTCTCATTTGGCCAGGGGCATGAGTTTCTTGACTCCTTTCTTTCTGTTTACTCTCTTTGATTCTGCAGCAATTCACCTGACTGTAGCTTTTGTGCACTAAAATAGTTCTATATAAATTCATATTTGAAGTTAGCTTAGTTAGCCTGGATTAATCTGGCCCTTGTTTAAGAAAAAAAAAAACAAACCACTTCAGAGGGCTGTCAAATGGATTCACACTGGTAGTTTGCATATAGCAGTAGGTGCTTAATGAATGTTTGTTAAATTGAAATGTTTAACCAGTGGTGTCACCAAACATTCTCCCCTTCTCTTCTTGGGTGAGTCTTCCATTATTTAGGCTTCAGAATGAAGACACAGTCCCAATTACATGCAAACAGCATGTAGAATCATAGTGACAGAATCTCAGAATTGGAAGGGAACTTAGAAGCTAATGAGTCCAGTCATGACCTGAGCAAAAATTCCCCTCTATCATATGTCCCCAAAGTGTTCATACAGCCTCCACCTGAAGACCTGTAGTAATAAGTGGCAATTTTAGTATGGAGGCCCATAAATTATCAATAAATTAATCATCAAGCATTTTTAAGCACCTCCTAAATTTGTTTGACCCAATGGTACAAATACAAAAGTAAAACAGTCCCTACCTTCAGAGAGCTTACATTCTATTGAGAGGATATAGCAAGTTCATAGATAAGTAAATATAGGATATAAACAAAATAGAGACAGTGAAAGGAGAAGAATCTTTACAATCTATGATCAGGGCATTTCTGAGAACAATAGATTTAAAGTAGAGAAATCCCCTACAAAATGCTGCACGTGACCTCGAGTTTAATAGCAGATACCTGGCTATAACGCTTATTTTTTAACTAGAAGAGGGCAGTATGGGATTGTTGAGGAAAGAGGAAGAGACAAATAGATGCTTTGTGGGACATGAAACTCTTTTTGTTCCTTTTGGAGTCAATTCTCCTGGTCAGACAGGCACAAAGGGGGTGGAGGGAAAGGGAAGAAGCCAAAGATGTTACAGGTGATGCGGAAAGACTGAAGTGTAATGTAGACTAAAGAGGGCTGAGTATGGGTCAGAGGGTTGAGTTTGGCAAGAAGAGAGGGGGCAGAATCAAAGAGCAAGAATGGTTTTTTGAATGATGTGGGGGGAGAGGTGGGGGGAGAGGGGAAGAGGGAGGGATGGACAGAGAGAGAGAGAGAGAGAGAGAGAGAGAGAGAGAGAGAGAGAGAGAGAGAGAGAGAGAGAGAGAGAGAGAGAGAATGAATGATAAGAAAGTTTGCAGAGAACAGAGATGGAATGATATAGCATACAAAGCAAGTTAGGGCAGAAGTTATGGTGAGTCCTTTATGGGAGTCAAAAAATATTGAATGGTACAAGTGAGTGTATTGAAGATAAAAAAAAAAAGAATGATGAAGGAATAAAGCATAATGGAGCTGTTCAGTATAGGATGAGGGGAATTCTTGAGTGATTAAAACACCTATACTGTGCCACCAGAGGGTAGCATTGTCTTACAACAGAAGCACATCAGGGAGGCCCTTATTTCTGAGGTTTTGTAGGTAGCAATGGATATTAAGGGCAAGCCCGAGATTTCAGACAGATTTGAGCCAAATCTCTGAGCTCTGGAATTCACCTACTGATATATAGAAAGAGTAGGTCTAAGCAAAACCAGTGATTTTTCTATCTCCTACTACCCCATCCTCTATCTGCTGACTTCTGGCTCATTAACTTGGTATAATGATGCTAGATACGTGTCTGGGGATACTGATTTGGCCTTACTTGTGGCTGAAAGAGATGGCTGTATTAGATTATAGCTCCATAGATCCGGTAAAGAGAGATGCAGTGAAAATGCTACCCTGAGGATTTGGCCATCTGATCTCAAGAAGAAGATAGGATGACATCCTGAATACCCTGCCAGTCCTAAGGTTCTCTAACTCTAACTCGACACTTGTTGCTCACTATGCTGTTTCCTTATGGGTCATTATCTCTGGCCACCTTTCTTCATGGCTGGATTTCACTAAGACAGGAAAAGTGAAATTTTCTTGCAGATACTGATAATTGTCATAGTTAAGTAAGGCCACTAAGAAGACACAGACCATTTATACCTGACCTCTGCCATGTATCAGGAACCTCAGCTGCAAGATTTCTCTAGAAGGTCCTGATCTAAGCAATGATGCCTGGTATGGGGGCTCTATAACATCTTTTTTTTTTGTCCCATTACCTCTCTTGCCCCTCATTATTCCACTTACCCCATTGGCTAATCCTAAGGAGCCATTGTGGATATGATCATTTCCATTCCTGCCAGGAGTAGGAAAGTTCAGTTTGAAGCTTAATAGTGCCCCTTCTAAGGAAAGACATTCAATGGCATAGGATCTTAGAAAGGTGTGACTCCTTGCATGCTTCAGGATGAATGCAGTTTTCTCATTTTTCTTTTGAAAACAAAATCCTCTAGTTAGGAGGCATCTGTCACAGAAATTCTACCAACTTCCCTAACACTCCAGTGTTAGGCTCCAGTACTCAGACTGGTCATAGACAAACTGTAGAAATCATTGGCTTGCATCAGAAATGACTTCAAACTTGGCTGAGGAATATTCAACTGACTTAGGAAAGAAATGTGTATACAGAGTTTATATGTTATGTGTGGACATGTTTTTCCATTAGGGCTTGTAAATGCTCAGGTTTTTCCCACGACCCACAAGGAGGTGAGATGTGTTAGATATCAATGATGTGGGGGTAGTCCACATGTTTTGGGTAAAAGAGAGGATGGAGATGAAGATATTCCAAGGAAAGAAACATATTGAAAAGAAACAGGATCTGTGTTGCACAAAACCAGGAATGAGAAGATAAAAAGTTAAGAATCTGATTACCCAGAAAAAAGAACAGGATTATGGCTGAGCAGGGTCTTTGTTTCTTAATATAATTGGTAGGCCCCAATTTTGCAACAGACTATCCAAAACCTTTCCTTTTAGCAGATTTCTTTGGATGTACATAGCTCTCAGAATGTTCCTGGAATAAAGGCATCCTGGTCCACAGGGAGAGATGCCTCTGAATGGCAATTTAAATGTTTTTGTAGAAACATATGAATGTCATTTCCCTTGGTAAATATTCTTGGAATCTTGAATTGGAAGGTAAAAAGACCAAGTTGCTAATAGTGAGTTGATTTCCCACATTGCAAGCTCAATTACTACAAGCAGCTCCACCAGTAGTGGTCATGATAAGGTGGCTTATGGTTGCTTTGTTGCTGTGATACTCTCAGCTCTTGATGCCTTGTGATTTAGCCCTGACTGGATGTGGTAAGAGAAATTCTGTCCAGGTGCAATTCTTCTGAATGCTGGGGGGGGGATATTATAAATCCGGTTGTAGAAGAGATGCCTTGCAATAGGTAGATCGCTTCCCTTAAGCAGGACCATTAAAATTCTGGTTCTTCCTGTTCTAGGTGGTTAGGGATGGGTTTGACTTTTTAAAAGACATGAAAACAACCTCAGGGAGATGACCTCTTTCCTATATGTTGGCTGAAGGATGGAGACCTTTCCTATTGTGTACCTAGCTTGAAAAAAGTATCCTAGGTAGTCCCTGTGTGTAATTGTGGAGACATAACAAGAGGACTCCCTGATTTAAACCAATGTTTCTACCAACAATGAGAGAAAAAAACATACTGAAGTAGATTTAGACATAGCTCCCCTTCTTCTATCCCCATCTACCGCACATGTGTCTAATAACTTTTCTTCAGAATGGAAGGAAAATGTCATCTTCCTGTCTGTCCGTTATCAACATGAAAAGGAGCACTGGATTCATAAGTAGCCCAATGACAACTACGGAATAAGCTGATTCTATTTAGAAAACCTGGTCCTGAAGTATTAGAATCACACTGTAATTCTGCAAGAGCTGCTTCAAGTTCATAGGGTCATAGATTTAAATACCAAATTAGATGGAGGTTGGAGGTGAGGAGAGTAGGCCTGTTGGAGCTAAAAGGGAGTAAGAAAAAATTATCATAGGAAAAAAAAATCCCACCTAAACATATAGAGCAAAATCAGGAAAGAAAGAATTTTCATTTCTTTGAATATTCTCTTAAACCTTAAAGGAAGTGTTAGAAAGGTAAAAATATTGCACAAATCAGGATAGTGCAGATTTCTAATATGTGACATCAATTTCCCTTTCTTTGGGCATTCACTAATGGTTCCAGATCTATAACATCCAGTTTGTGGCAATGTCATCTGCTGACAGATTTGACCAATATATTCAGTTGCTACCCCAAGTGCAGAGCCCCGACTCTATGGTCCCAAACCTGGGCCTTTCATAATAATCTAAATAGCATCTCGAGAACTACTTTACAGGACTTTCCAAGAGGTAGGAGAATAAAATCAGGTCCAAAAACCTGGAGCAGGCAGGCTGATGTGAATTCACTATCAAAGCAACCTGTAAGCAGAAAGATTTAAGAGAAGTTTGGGAAAGCAGGAAGGGCTAAAATAGTTAAGTTCAAAGAAAAGGTTTGTTCTTAATACAGAGATTTTGAAATAATTACAGTTGGGACAGTGTCCGCATGTACAACAAACTCTTGTAGTTTGTCTAGTATACCCTGGTGCCATTTTCTCTTTAGGGTTATTTTCTTCTTCCCTTACTCTCTTGTTCTTTGTGGAGAACTTGGGTCTCTACAGCAGAGTGGTACATTTCTCCTGAGGACGGTGACTCTCTGTGCCCTGTTCTGTCCCTCCCAACAGCTCAGAGGACATTGTGTCCTATTGAGTGCTGATGAGTACCAAACCGATTTAATCTCCGTTTATAGCTGTCATACTCATTCCAAAATAGAATAGATACAAATTCTCTGTATTTGAAAAAAAGAGATGTGATACCCATTGTATATTGTCTTTTCTTCCTTATTTATTCTCTGTAAGTCCATCTGTCAGATGATAAAATGTAAATAATAATGATTAAAGAAACATGCTGCTGATGGAGCCTTTTTAAAAACAACGTCTAAGAAGAACCAGCTCCGGGCTTTGGCCTCCGGAGGGGGGAGGCAGCACCTTTGGGGAAGTGGAGGCTGGAATATGGGAGCAGGGATAAAGGGACATTTATCATCCATCAGAGTATTTATATGAAGCTCTAAATACTGGTTTCTACACATGGACAAGAACATTGTGATCTCAGAGATTTTGCTGTTCTGTAGACTTGACCAACCTTATTAACT